TGCAATTCCTTTGCACGTTAAGTCTCATGCAAATAACAGTGTTGGGCTTTGAAAAAATCGGGCGGAATGTGATTCGAGCTTTTTTTCCAATTTTTCATCTGTCACAAAGTTTGCTGAATTTTTTGACGACATGCTTGGAGATATAAAAATATGAAAGCGTATTTATCAGTTATGGGAAGAAGTTCCAATTATTCACCGCAAAAATTATATACCATAATCAAAATCCATACTTCACATTTCATTACCGGAATATTTTGTAAAGAAATTGGATATTGTACTACTTATTTAGCACAGCACTGGGGAAGTAATGTGATAGGGCTCTTTTATTATCACCAAATGATAATGTTTCTGGAAAGGATAAAAGAAAACTGGTAATGGTTCATTTTGAAGAGTTCATCTGAAATAGTAAACCTCGATACTGTGATTAATTTTGTTTCACAAGTTATAGTGCAAAAGTTCCAATTATTAATTCGAGGAGATTGCCGTTAATTCTTCCTAGCTGTTCACAAAGAGTAAGAAGCACGAGAAGTTACAAAGCATCTTTATAGCAACAGTTACGTTATAAGTTTATATACTTACTGCACGGTCGTAAAGGAATATACAAATGGAGCAGGCAGTTATTTTACATACAAAAAATTCAAGTTTAGGAAAACTCAAATTTAGTTTGGTCAATTTCCTCTAAGTTTTAATTAATAATTTGTCAAAATTTAAATAGTAATATAATTAATAAAGAATTTCTAAAACATGTATACCATAAAGGCATGCAATATTTGAAAATCACAATTTAAAAATAGAAAGTATAGATGAATGGATGTGAAAATAAAAATAATACATATTCCTGTGTAAGAAGATGAAAGCATTTTAAAAGGAACGCCTTAATTTTTTAATTACATCCCTAAATAAAGGAATACCAGTAGTCTAACAAAATTTAAGAATATATATATATTAAGATAGATGTTTGCTCGAGAGCTAGTTTCGCTTATATGGTAATTAATTTCTTGCTGATCTAATTAATAAACTCACTTGGATTATAATGGTTATTCACCAATCAACAAAAGGCTCATTATTCACCAATAATTATTTGGAATAAAGTATTTCACACTGGCATGCGGGCAATGTCATTCAATAAAATAGCTAACAAATCTTCTTGTCTAATCTCTCTCAGCAACTCTTGATTGAGCTGCTTATAAAAGAGAAAATGCACTTTCTATTGAAAAGGTATGTGGTGACATCAATTTGGCTACCTGATCTCGCATTGTAATTCGTTGCAGCTCTAATTCACTTGCGATCAAAGAAAAGAATCGAAGATTTGCATACATTATTATATTCACGAAAAAGTCACAAATCTTTATGTTTCGAAAGGCGAGAATGGAATTTAGTTTGCTCGCATAAAGATGAACAGGTGACGAAATCCTGCCGGTTGTGTTTTCACTTGATGATTTACCATCCTCCTCCGCCACCTGCATCAACCACAGAAATTGTAGGGTAAAGTTGTTTGCCATCCGTACCAGTACCACGGGTGCCAGCTTCGTAACCTCTAGTAGGTTGGAATGGTGCTGTGGGATAAACAGCACCACCCTGGTAATCTGGATTGGCGGGAACATCACGACGTTTACTACCACCACCAAAAAATCTACTGGCTAAATGACCCAAACCCACACCTCCAAGGCTACCCAAGAAAGTGTTCAAACCTCCACCTCTTCCACCACCACCCATTGGCATCATACCACCACCACCACCACCCATTGGCATCATACCACCACCACCACCCACTGGCACTCTGCCACCATTCTCAATATTAGTGGGCCCTTGTTTTCGTGCATTATTGCTGGCACTATTAGCCTTACGACGACAACAACAATAGCACAAACAACAACAACAACAAAGGAGAGGTAAAATGAAGAAGATGAATATAAGCCAAAGCCAAAATGGTATACGCGGGAGAAGACCTGTACGCCTTTTGTCATCACTCGGTCCTGGGACAATAACACCAGCCGGTGGTGAAATCCCTCGCTTTGATAAAGTTTTTTCCCATGTTTGCCGTATTATATTGCTCAGTGCTTGAAAATAATCTCCTCGTTTAAAAAATTGCTTCTGCAAAATAATTTATTCCTTAACAAAAAAAAAAACGATAACTACTTTATCAAAATTAAAATTAAATGATTGAATGACCGACCAACTGATCAACCGACCGATGAACTGATTTTTATGAATTAAAAACTTCCTACATTTTACTATTGCTCAATACACCTCAAAATGTTTTATCTGTCACTCTTGCAATTTCATTTCTTTAAAAGAAGAAAGGAACTTGATGATCTGAAATCTTTTTTACTTGAATACAATATGGTACCATATATGCAACATAGCACATCATAAGGTACTATATTGTATTGAGGTATCATTAAATTATATTACTATCATGATATAAACGAGTAAATAATTATGCTTTCATCCCAACATTTCGATCAATCCACAGTAATCTGCCACAGATGAAGTTTGGCAAAGATTCTTACAAAATGTAATTTGATTTCTAGTTAGTTTTAATACGTAACCACCTAATAATAAAGTAAACCTCAGGAGCCTCAAAATCAATGTAAATAATATCTCGATCCATTTGTTGTCCAAATAAATTATAGATCGAGAAAAGGTAAAAGAGTAAAAAGGATGAAAGAGGAAAACTATAATTTACTTCGGAATTGAATATTTGAGTAAATTCTTGCGCATATACAGGAACCCGCGCATCACGCGCTGTCCAGAACTGATTATTTTGGACTGCAAGCAAAAAAACCACTGATTTCTGACATTGACCATCTAATGCCCATTTTCGAAGAATTTGATTTGCCATATCTTTGACAGTCTTCAACATTTTTTTATTTGACAATAAAAAAATCAAAATACTTGACCTTTGCAGTTTAAAGTAAGAAAGTACAGAAAATCTAACGATATCATTCCTCACCAAACTATTAATACGAAGTTGATAGATGGAAAATTGCAACAACGAGAAGAATTGCAAAATGTATTTGAGGAAGACTGGAACTGATATCACTTTAAGATAATCAAAAAATAAATCCTTTTATGGTTATTACCACCAAACTATTGTTGACTACATTAATTTTAAAACAAGTTCGAGAATTAATATACCTCAGAATTACCACGAACACGTTTAGCAATAGCCAGTGCTGCCGTAATTCCTTTTTTCTGACAAAAATCGGGAGCATAATCCTATAAAAAGACATTAAATGAGGTAAAACGTCTGAATACAAATTGAAATAAAAATTTTCAACTATTGAAATTTTCTTCAGTCGTAAATAAAATTATACTTATAGCTTAACATAGAATTGAAACAAAGAAACAATCAAAAAATTACGCTATCAATCAAATTGATTGACAGCTTAATGGTGAAATTTTTTGGAAGAGCCTACTTTTCGGAAGAAAAATGGCTGCAAACGAAATGTAATTATAGCGTTATTGTTAAATATGAGAATAACACGAATTGTTTTCATATTATATGCTTCCAGACAAAAACTGTTTTAAGCAAACGAACCTGTCGAGTTCGACTTTCCAGCTGATGTAATTCATGATTCAATCGCATCCTTTGCGCTTCGGTCAACACTTCATCTGGATCACATATATTCGATGTTGTTCGCATGTTACATCGCCTGAAGTCGCCGTAAGTTGGGTTCGGATAATTCATTATATCCCATTCCAAACAATAACAACTGGAAAGAATCAACAACAAGGAGATAAGCCGTAATATGACGATCGATGACGAGCCCATCCTGAAAAACATTAATATGAATATAATCAAAAAAGGAAGAAGTCTTCAAAGTTCGACTAATTAACCGAAAAATCAAACTATTTTAGAAAGAGGTATTGTTAGGATATAGCACAACTAATAAGTACGATCTGAAATATATACAAAATGCCTCAGATTTCAACACTCAATATCGTCGATCACATAGTTGATAACATTAAAGCGATTGATTTGTAGTAAATTAAAATATAATAAGAAACTACGCAATTCCAAATTGCTTATCAATTTCAATCTTTTGGCACTAAACTTTATAGGACAGAGAACAAACAACAAAGACTAAGTATGACAAATAAAAGTAAAACTAATAGAAAGACTAATTAATATATTTACTAAAGTATAATACGTGTATTTAAGTAAATAATACACTGCAGCTACTGCCGATAAATCCTTTTCATTATTAACACTTCACATTAATAAAAATATTGTGAAGTAGGAAGAAAATGGAATGGTAATTAATAAATATCACATAATATTTAAAAGTGATAACACAATGTAAGGTGAAACTGATTAAACATTAACCCTAATGTTAATGAATGAAAACAGAAATAGAATTTCCATTACTATTTTGCTGTAAACTAATGTTCTGCTAATTCTCCTTAGGTTTTAAAGGGGTAATTAAGTATTAAAGGGGGTAATTAAAATAATTATTTTGATAGTAAATCATTGAAAAAGTTCTTAAAATTTTTATCTCTATTTAGACTTACAAAAAAAACTTAGGAGAAAACCAAAATGATATCCTCTTCTCTATATTCCTTATTTCATAATAAACAGTAATACTTAAACGTTTAAATAGTACTAAGCAAAACGTTTAAACAAATAAACTGCAACTAAGAACTGTGACTGAAAATATCGCTTGTATTTTAGAAAATGAAATATACAATCCATATAATATTATTATCACATTTCATGCTGTTGCTTAGTAACTTTAGCAATAATTGAATAAAGGAATTAGTTAGCCATTAATTAGGATACTTACTCAGGTAACTTTAGAATGCAATGATATCGATCTTATCACTGACTTATGTAATTGATAAGTTAAAGAAGCATTGTCATTTGCATTCAATACTGCAAGCGATAATATTTCTGAAGCGATAAACATGGAATAATGCAATGGGCAATAGCATTAAAAAAACAAATGAATTAATAAGTAAGAAGGAAGAAATTATATTTACAACTTTCCATTGCTCATTAAACATTACTTCAACTCTATTCATTCATCATCCATCATCCACCTTCTTTACCTTATAATTATAACCAAAATACATTTTCGCACTCAATCATACAAAATGGACAGCTTAAAAAGACTTGCTCGAAAACATTGTTTGTTAAACTTCCCGGAACATTAATCTGTTTATTTCAACTAGTTGACAGTTTTTTCATCTTTGATCAGCAATAGATATAGCAAAAAAATAAAGTTATAACACGCTCGATCACAATAAACGTATTTTCAAACTCAAAACGAATTATATTTGATAGTTTGCATGAGCTAATTTTGCAGGAATAAAAACAAAAAAGAAATCGAAAAAAAGTTTTGAAAATTAAACTAATAAACAAGCTAATCTGTCCTTCGAGATAATGTCAGGAAAATATGATAATTAGTTAATATAATTAATTAATATTTCTAAAATTAATTAATATTTCTAAAATTTAATATAATTAATTAATATTTCTATAATTAATTAATATTTATTGTATCGTAGAATTTATCCCATAAATTCAGGATACATACCTTTCAAATAGTTTCATGTTTACTTATACGACATCAGATGATCTTCATCTTTCCTTCTTGTCTTCCATCACATTCTCAGTATATTATAGCATTGTTGTTGCTTGGTTGTGTTTTTCCTTTTTTGATAAACAAGGAAAGAACTGCTTAAGAATAAGGAATATTAGAAGATTAGAAATATCATTTCATTGTAATCATACCTTCTTTTATTGCTTGCTATGTCACATAGAATGTCGCTGATTTTAATTGGACAAATGAATTGTATTTTTATCATAGAAGTTGTAGTTTGGAATAGAGAGAACAAAACCAAACCAGTTATTCCTTCTCTTTCTCCTAAATTTTCGATCTTAAGGATTCAGTCTTCATTCCCAATTTTTCCTCATTTTTGGCACGGCCATTTTGTCACCGTTGTCGTATGTACTTACGACAAATGAATGATGCTATCAATTTCTTTGGTATGGGGACATGTTAATACGTTAGGTATATCAATAAGCCTTCAGTGCGTTTGCACATACTCACACCGTATCCTATCTAAGGCTTAACTGATCAATCTGTGCATAGATATGTTTTGCCACAATTTGACATTGTTTATAGGTTATTCATTTTCATCTCGTATTGGTAAAAGATATATAGGTTGGGTTTCTGGGTATTGCTTACCTCGCAGGACGCAGTAGAATCTTTTGATTTGGATAGTTTGCACGAGGCCCTCTACAAAATCTGTAAGTTTGGAGAGCTTGATCAGACGTATAACGACTGTCTTTCTCGTTTTTTATAGTTAGTTAATAATTAATAAGTTATTTTTATATTGTCCTATTCCATCGTATTCCCGTTGCCCAATAGATAACAATTATTAAAATCAGAATTTATCATGTTCATCCATAGATGTTTCGTAAATACGAGTATCAAAATGATATCCTTCATACCAAAAATAATATGTTTGAAAAATCCATGGAAACTTAAAATATATAATGTCAAAGGGATTAAAGCATTGATGTTGACGCGCTGTTTTCCCTCTTCTCTTTGTTTGTTTTGTGAAAATCTTTGACATTCTAATGAATTATTGATAAGTTATCTCAATAATACAAGAAGTTTCCAGGAGCGGATCGTGAATCATTCATATATATCAGTGCACGCACTCTATATTTTTCTAATTAAGGAAGAAATTGTGAGGCATATGTGTAACAATCCTTATGCTTTCCAGGTTTTAAAATTTCATTTGAAATCTCTACCACAAGCAAGCCATAATGTGGGAAGATAGAACTTATCGAATCATATATTTGGGGTACCTCTTTATGTTTCTCTTATTACCAAGAAAAAGAAATACTGGAAAGAATTTCTGAATTTGCCAACTTTTTTCCTTCATCAGATGGCAGTGATAAATGAATAATTGATGGGAATAGCTTTTTAGTTAACTATTTTATCCATCATTTCGCTGCAATTCCTTTGCACGTTAAGTCTCATGCAAATAACAATGTTGGGCTTTGAAAAAATCGGGCGGAATGTGATTCGAGCTTTTTTTCCAATTTTTCATCTGTCACAAAGTTTGCTGAATTTTTTGACAATTTTAGAAACTCTCACAAGTTATAGTGCAAAAGTTCCAATAATTAATTCGACGGGATTGCTGTTGATTCTTTCTACCTATTCACAAATAGCAAAAGAAGCACAAGAAGTTACAAAGCATCTTTTATAGCAACAGTTACGTTACAAACATTAAAATTAACCATCACAATATCAAGGTTTAGTATTTCAAATGAATTCTTCAAAATGCATCACTATAAATTTTCTTTCATTATTTCCAGAAACATCTTTGCTGTCATTTCATTCAATAAAAGACTATTCAGTCATTGATGGACATAATAACGAAGAGCAACAGCTAGCCTGAAGATAATGCTCAAAATAAATCCAAAAACAAAACTACAATTACATGGTTGCTAAAACATAAAAGAACATTATCACATTACTTCCTCAATGCTATGCTAGATAATTAATACAATATCTGATCTAATTACTTTACAAAAGATTCCGGTAATGAAATGAGAAGTATGGATTTTGATTATGGTATATAATTTTTGCGGTGAATAATCGGAACTTCTCCCCATAACTGATAAATACGCTTTCATATTTTTTTACTTCCAAGCGTGTCAATTTTACATACATGCCGAACCGTAGTAAAGGAATATACAAATGAAGCAAGTAGTAATTTTACGGAAAATTCAAGTTTAATTTGATCAATTCCCTCTCTCTTTTAATTAGTAATTTGTCAAAACTTAAATAGTAATGTAATTAATAAAGAATTTCTAAAACATGTATACCATAAAGGCATGCAATATTTGAAAATCACAATTTAAAAATAGAAAGTATAGATGAATGGATGTGAAAATAAAAATAATACATATTCCTGTGTAAGAAGATGAAAGCATTTTAAAAGGAACGCCTTAATTTTTTAATTACATCCCTAAATAAAGGAATACCAGTAGTCTAACAAAATTTAAGAATATATATATATTAAGATAGATGTTTGCTCGAGAGCTAGTTTCGCTTATATGGTAATTAATTTCTTGTTGATCTAATTAATAAACTCACTTGGATCATAATGGTTATTCACCAATCAACAAGAGGCTGATTATTTACCAATAATTATTTGGAAAAAAAGTATTTCACACTGGCATGCGGACAATGTCATCCAGTAAAATAGCTAACAAATCTTCTTGTCTAATCTCTCCCAGCAACTCTTGATTGAGCTGCTTATTAAAGGAAAAATGCACTTCCTATTGAAAATGCATGACTTCAATCTAGCTACCTGATCTCGCATCGTAATTTGTTGCAGCTCTAATTTACTTGCAGTCAAAGAAAAGAATCGAAGATATATATATTATATACTGTATTTGCATATATTATATTCATAAGAAAATCACAAATCTTAATGTTTCGAAAAGCGAGAATGCAATCTAGTTTTGCTAGCATAAAGATGAACAAGTGAAATGAAATCCTGCCGGTTGTGTTTTCACTTGGTGATTTACCATCCTCCTCCACCACCTTCATCAATTACAGCAACTGATGGGTAAAGTCCTTTGCCACTCGTACCAGTACCACGGGTGCCACCTCCGTAACCTATACTAGGTTGGTATGGTGCTGCAGGATAAGCACCACCACCTTGGTAACCTGGTCTGGCAGGAAAATTACGACGTCTATTAACACCACCTAACAGTTGACCGACTAAATGACCCAGACCCACACCTCCAAGACTACCCAAGAAATTGTTGAAACCTGCACCTCTTGCACCACTACCACCACCCATTGGCATCCTACCACCACCACCACCAACCACTGGTACCCTACCACCACCCTCAATGTCGGTAGGTCTTTGTCTTCGTGGATTGTTGCTGGCACCATTACCTTTACGACGACAACAACAACAATAGCACAAACAACAACAACAACAAAGAAGAGGTATAATGACGAGGAAGAATATAAGCCAAAACCAAAATGGTATTTGGGGGAGAAGACTTCCGCGCCTTCTGTCACCCGGTCTTGGGACAACAACACGAGGTGGTGGAGAAGCACGTGGACCAAAACCACCCCCCTCACCAGCACCACCTTTACCATCACTTGGTAGTTCCGCTACTCCTTGCTTTGATATAGCTTTTTCCCATGTTTGCCGTATTATATTGTTCAACGCTTGAAAATAATCTCCTTGTTGAAAAAATTGCTTCTGCAACATAATTTATTCCTTAACAAAAAAAAAAAAACGACACCTGGCTTGTCAAAATTAAAATTAAATGATTGACTGACATACCAACTATCAACCGACCGATGAACTGATTTATGAATTAAAAACTCTCCCATTTTACTAGTGCTTATTACACCTCAAAATGTTTTATCTGTCACTCTTGCAATTTCATTTCTTTAAAAGAAGAAAGGAACTTGATGATCTGAAATCTTTTTTACTTGAATACAATATGGTACCGTAATGTAAGAAGCACATTATAAGGTACCATATTGTACAGAAATATTAAATTATATTGTTATCACAATAACAACGAGAAAAATAATTATGCTTTTATCTCAAAATTTCGATCAATCCACAGTAATCTGCCATAGATGAAGTTTGGCAAAGATTTATGAAAATTTATGATACATCTTACAAAATATCATTAGAAAACCTTTATATACGTTCTCTTGAATCATGAAGTTTTAATAAGTAATCACCTAATAATAAAGTCAACCATTGAAACCTAATCAGTCCAATAACATCTCTATCCACTTGTTGTTTAAATAGATTATAGATCGGGAAGAGGTAAAAAACTACAAAAGAATGAAAAAAAGGAAGAGGAAAACTATAATTTACTTCGGAATTGAATATTTGAGTAAATTCTTGCGCATATACAGGAACCCGCGCATCACGCGCTGTCCAGAACCGATTATCATCGACTGCAACCAAGAAAACCACTGATTTCTGACACTGATTATCTAATGTCCACTTATGAAGAATTTGATTTGCCATTTCTTTGACAGTCTTCAACATTTTTCATATCAAAAAAACAAAAATATTCAGCATTTGGAGCATAAAGTAAGAAAGTACAAATCATCAAACTATAAATACGAAGTTGATAGATGAAAAACTGCAACAACGAGAATTGCAAAATGTATTTGAGGAAGACTGGAACTGATATCACTTTAAGATAATCAAAAAATAAATCCTTTTATGGTTATTCCTACTAAACTACTGTTGATTATATTAATTTTAAAACAAGTTCGAGAATTAATATACCTCAGAATTACCACGAATATGTCTGGCAATAGCCAACGCTGCCGTAATTCCTTTTTTCTGACAAAAATCGGAAGCATGATCCTATAAAAAGACATTAAATGAGGCGAAATGTCTGAATGTAAATTGAAATAAAAACTTTCAATATTGAAATTATTTCTAGTCGTTAATAAAATTATACTTATAGCTTAACATAGAATTGAAACAAAGAAACAATCAAAAAATTACGCTATCAATCAAATTGATTGACAGCTTAATGGTGAAATTTTTTGGAAGAGCCTACTTTTCGGAAGAAAAATGGCTGCAAACGAAATGTAATTATAGCGTTATTGTTAAATATAAGAATAACGCGAATTGTTTTCATATTATATGCTTCCAGACAAAAACTGTTTTAAGCAAACGAACCTGTCGAGTTCGACTTTCCAGCTGATGTAATTCATGATTCAATCGATACCGTTGCGCTTCGGTCAATACTTCATCTGGATCACATACATTCGATGTTGTTCGCATATGACATCGTTTGAAGTCGCCGGAAGTTGGATTCGGATAATTCGATATATCCCATTCCAAACAATAACAACTGGAAAGAATCAGCAACAAGGAGATAAGCCGTAATATGACAATCGATGACGAACCCATCCTGAAAAACATTAATATGAATATAATCAAAAAAGGAAGAAATCTTCAAAGTTCGACTAATTGACCGAAAAATCAAACTATTTTAAAAAGAGGTATTGTTAGGATACAGCACAACTAATAAGTGCGATGAGACATATATACAAAATGTCTCAGATTTCAATACTCTATATCGTCGATCAAACCCAATTTCATATTGCTTATCAATTTCAATCTTTTGCCACTAAATTTGATAGGACAGAGAACAAACAACAAAGACTAAGTAAGACTAACAAAAAGTAAAACTAATACAAACACTAATTAAGAAATTACATTAAAATATAATATGTGTATTTAAGTAAATAATATATTGCAGCTACTATCGATAAATCCTTTTCATTATTAATACTCTGGTATTTATTATTTACTATTCCATTTTCTTCCTACTTCACAATATTTTTATTAATGAATAGTAAATAATAAATACCACATCAATAAAAATATTGTGAAGTAGGAAGAAAATGGAATTGTAATTAATAAATACCAGATAATATTTAAAAGTAATATCACAATGTAAGATGAAACTGATTAAACATTAACCCTAATGTTAATGATTATTTTTAATGAAAACAGAAATAGAATTTCCATTACAATTTTACTAAATTAAAATAACTTTGGAATGCAATGATATCAATCTTATCACTGATTTACGTGATTGATAAGTTAGAGAAGCATTGTCGTTTACATTTAATACTGTAAACGATAATATTTCTAAAGTGATAAACATGGAATAATAGACAATAGCATTAAAAAAACAAATGAATTAATAAGTAAGAAGGAAGAAATTATATTTACAACTTTCCATTGCTCATTAAACATTACTTCAACTCTATTCATTCATCATCCATCATCCACCTTCTTTACCTTATAATTATAACCAAAATACATTTTCGCACTCAGTCATACAAAATCGATAGCTTAAGACAAGCTCGAAAATATTAATTATTGAACTTCTCGAAACATTAATCTGTTTATTTCAACTGTTGACAGTTGTTCCATCAATTGATAAGCGATAAAGACAATAAAAAAATAAAAATTATAACACGCTCTACCAAAATAGAGTATATATATATATCATATCATAATCATATCATAACTCTCAGTCATATCATATCATAATCATTTGCAATACACTTAATTAATTAATATTTATTAAATCGTAGAATTTATCGTATAATAATTTGAATCATCCACGATACACACTTCTCAATTATTTTCATATCCACTTATATGACATCAAATAACACAATCCTTCATCTTTCCTTCCTATCTTCCATCACACTCTCAGTCATATCATAACATTGTTGTAACAATTCAATAAAAACAAAAACATTTGCAATACACTAAAATTCGTTGAAAAAAAACAAACTGAAAAAATGCTAAAATTTATTAAACAAATTTCTAATCAATTAAATCACTCACTAAGGATGACAACATATCAGTTTACATCGGATCGATATAACAGTTTTATGAAATCACTGAAAAAGAATGATTAAACTTTTCGGAGTATCAGAATGAGAATGAGAAGAGCAGGTTGATAAGAAAGGTAACGAAAGCAATTAATGAAATTTGACTATTAAATAATTACTCAATAATTCTCCCAAAATTTAATAAAGAAACAAAATAACTGATAAGCATGATAAAAAAAGGTAAAGAAATAAAAATGACAGTGCAATAGGATAGACAGAAACTTTACATATATTTCAAGAATTTTTAGATTTTAGATTTTAGATTTTAGAAATAAATTTTAGCACTATTTTATACCATCAAAAATATACAATGGATTACCGTACAATTTTGTTANTTAAATAATTACTCAATAATTCTCCCAAAATTTAATAAAGAAACAAAATAACTGATAAGCATGATAAAAAAAGGTAAAGAAATAAAAATGACAGTGCAATAGGATAGACAGAAACTTTACATATATTTCAAGAATTTTTAGATTTTAGATTTTAGATTTTAGAAATAAATTTTAGCACTATTTTATACCATCAAAAATATACAATGGATTACCGTACAATTTTGTTACATTTTGGATTTTGAGAATATCAACGTAACGGACATACCTAATGAAATACCTATGTGAAAGTTCCTCCAAATGAAGAAAACATATGCTGTAAACAAATTTAAAGTAACTCGGAAAATCGACAATACCCAATAATTCCTTTCTTTCTCAGTAGCATCTTTGTTGTTTTTACTATTACTGCATACACACATATACATAAAAACACGAATGCACTACATACATACGCGCACATGTATGCTACTATTGCATACACATACACACATACATACACACAAATGCATACATACATACATACACGCACCTATATGTGCTATTGTTACATACACACACATACATACATCAATGCACGACATACATAAACGCGTGTATATGTGTATACGAAGAAGCATACATATTGATAGTGAGAAATGGAAGATTCCGTTAGAGAGAGCATCGGTTGCATGTAGCGAAAGGGTGGCACGAGCACGTGTAGCATTGAGAAAGCGTATTCGGAGAAATTAGAGCGGAAATTCTGTGCGAAAGATTGACGATGTGTGGATATGAGAATTCATAAAGCTTTGCGGTGAAAAGATCGATTTACCTGATGTGTTTCAATATCTTCCGGAGTAACGTAGAAGATGCTACATGTAAGAAGATCGATATTATAGGAAATTCCGAGACATCATCCACTCGAACTGGCACTTAAGAAAACTGGTCGGAATAATCAGTAGATAGGATAAAAGTTATAAACTTTAATAATTAGAATGATAAATTACCCTTTTATTTTCTCATCTTGTTAATATTTCATAATCGTTAAAACTTTGCGTGCCATAAACAATCAGGTAAGTCGAAAAGGTCAGTCTGGAGGAACTATCCTGATTTTGAAGTTCGGAAAGAAATAATTTTAGTACATTTGGAGAAGTCATTGATCTGTTCCAGAACTTATAATTATCTACTTCAGGAAGCTGTAACACTGTAAAAGCATCAGAAAATATATGTAGATAGGATCCGAAATTCAGAATATCACTCAGTAATCCGATCTTGTCTTATATTGCAACAAATCCCTAACTCTTTCACTATTACTAATCGGCTAAACTTTTATCCGTTTCAAGCAACAGTACATGAAATGGTAACACTTGTATTCTCTTCCTGATGCTTTAAAAATTATACATAAATTTGTTAATGAGGAAATATGAAATAAAAAATGTTGAAGGTTGTCAAAGAAATGGCAAATCAAATTCTTCGAAAATGGACATTAGATGGTCAGTGTCAAAAATCAGTGGTTTTCTTGGTTGCAATCGAAGATAATCAGTTCTGGACAGCGCGTGATTTGCGGGTTCCTATATATGCATAAGATTTCACCCAAATATTCAAATCCCAAGTAAATTATACTTTTCCTCTTTCAATTTTTCCTATTCTAATATTTTTCCTCTTGCCGATCTGTAATCGATTTGGATATAATAATCAAAAAAGGAAAATATCTTCAAATAAAAAGAAATATTGTTAGGATATAGCACAACTGATACGGACGATCTGAAATATATTTCAATACTCGATATCGTTGATCACATAAGTTGATAACATTAAAGTGATTGATTTGTAGTAAGTTAAAATATAATAAGAAACTACTCAATTCCATATTGCTTATCAATTTCAATCTTTTGGCACTAAATTTGATAGGACAGAGAACAAACAACAAAGACTAAGTAAGACTAATAAAAAGTAAAACTAATACAAAGACTAATTAAGAAATTACATTAAAATATAATATGTGTATTCAAGTAAATAATACACTGCAGTTACTGTCGATAAATCCTTTTTATTATTAGTACTTTATATTAATAAAAATATTGTGAAGTAGGAAGAAAATGGAATAGTAAATAATAAATGCCAAATAATATTTAAAAGTACTAGCACAATGTAAGGTGAAACTGATTAAACATTAACCCTAATGTTAATGATTAATGTTAATGAGAAGAGAAATAGAATTGACTGAAAAACAATGATTAAACTTTTCGTAATATCAGAATGAGAATGAGAAGTGCAGGTTGATAAGAAGGGTAATGAAAGCAATTAATGGAATTTGACTGTTAAATAATTACTCAATAATTCTCCCAAAATTTAATAAAGAAACAAAATAACTGATAAGCATGATAAAAAAAGGTAAAGAAATAAAAATGACAGTGCAATAGGATAGACAGAAACTTTACATATATTTCAAAAAATATTCGATGCTAAATTTAAGAACAATTTTATACCTTCAAAAATATACAATAGATTTTGAGAATATAAACGTAACGGACATACCTATGAAATACCTATGTGAAGATTCCTTCAATGAAAAACCAAATGAAGAAAATATATGCTGTAAACAAATTTAAAGTAACTCAGAAAATCTGCAACACCCAATAATTTCTTTCGATCTCATTGTTGTTATTGCATACACATACATAGAAACACAAATGCACACATACATACACGCGCATGTATGCAATAATAGCATATCATACACATACACACACAAATGCACCACATACATACATGCACATGTATGTGTGCACGAAGGAGTGCACTCACCAATTATGAGAAATAGAAAGTTCCACTAAAGAATGCATCAGTTGCAGGAGTTAGAGCGGCGAGGAATTCTGCGTGAACGGTTAATAGTATGGCGGATATGAGAATTCATGAAGTTTTGTGATGGAAAAATCGATTTACCTGATGTTTTTCAATATCTTCCAGAGTAACGCAGTAAATGCTACATTGTAAGAAGATCGATATTATTGGAAATTCCGAGACATCATCCACTTGAAATGACACTGATAAGGTGTAGTTAAGAAGACTGATCGGAATAACTTACTGAAGAAGATTGATCGGAATAATCAGTAGCTGGAATGGAAGTTATAAACTTTAATAATCGGAATAGTAGATCATCCTTTTATTTTCTCATCTTGTTAATACTTCATAATCGTTATGATTACTAATTGATGCCGAATTAAACTTTGCGTGTAATAAATAATCAGCACATCTTCAAGTCGAAAAGATCAATCTGAAGGAAGTACCCTGACTTTGAAGTTCGGGAAGAAGTAATTTTAGCATATTTGGAAAAGTAATGTAACTTCCATTAAAATTTTTCAGTGATCTGTTCCAGAACCTATAGTTAATTATCTACTTCAGGAAGCTGTAACACTGTAAAAGCATCAGAAAATATATGTAGATAGGATCCGAAATTCAGAATATCACTCAGTAATCCGATCTTGTCTTATATTGCAACAAATCCCTTACTCTTTCACTATTACTAATCGGCTAAACTTTTATCCGTTCCAAGCAACAGTACTTGAAATGGTAACACTTGTATTCTCTTCCTGATACTTCTTTAAAATTGCGCATTTATTTTCCAGCAGAAACTCAACTGTCAGTGAAAAAGACGCTCTCAACTGTAATGCTCCAAATTTGCTATTAAAAGTTCAAACAACGCGAGTGATATGTACTTCAAATTTTTAATGCTACAAATAAACATTGGTCAAATAATGAAAGTAACGAAACCATTGAAATTAAAAAAAATAAAACTAGTTATACAAGGGAACGATACGTAAATAATAAGGAATAAAAGGAAAACAAAAATCATTCAGATTAAAACATGCAGCATTTGGAATTATCAAACTAGAAACTGAAATTAATTGCATCCACCGCCAATCTGCTAACAGAAAGTAATAGCTAATAAACGCAGCCGAGTTGCAAACATTCGCAGGATACTTTTTCTGCAGATTTGCAACTTGCATTATTGCATTATAGCTTTAGACTTGCAGAATTATGAAGACATTTTGCGCCGGAAAATATCGTTTAATCGCATTTCCATCCTTAATATGTTAGTCTAGCGTATTCACGTCAAACGGACGCTCATTCCACTGGATTAACAATATGTTTCTCCGTAAATGCCCGTACGAAAAAAAATGAGCAAAAGAAGCACATCTACTAATAGTGCAAGCGCATTGTGACACAATCATAATCATCGTGAATTCCCCAAAAATTTTCAGCTAAACTTTGAGCACTTAAATATAGGGAAAAAAGACATACATAACTGGATGAAGCTGATAAAGCTAACAGGTCACCGCCAAAAGCGGTTCTTCAAAAAAACAAGTGATGAACAAAATGCAAAAGGGGGACCTAAAAATACAAAAAAATATTAACACATACTTCAGCTTAAACATTTCTATCTACCCTAGGCTTCGATAATGAAAATTCGTGCCTAAGATTAATTGTTTGTTCGTACAATTTGTTATCTCCACCGATAAGAAAAAATGGAAAGTGCAAATTTTCATTTGTACAAAGTTATGAAACATCTACAGAAAAATGAAATACCACAATAAATTGCAACGAGCAAGTTCAAGCGAATTTTTTCGCGGTTTCCTGCATAACATGTTTAATAAAACGAATAAATTCTGCGATATATACGTGCAACTTAGAAGAATACAATAAAAAATACTATTGCTTCAGCGGTAAGACCAAAGGTCAAACAATACTTCGATTTTAAGATGCTGTACTTCAACATATCTGTATGAGAGAAGAGTTAACGAAGAAGTGTAAAATATACCCAAAATATAATGGATAACTGCAAAGCAATAAGAAGTATAAAAAAAATGTGAATCCAAAATGCGCAATCTAAAATAACCCGTACAAAGCAAGCACTAGACACAGTTTTTTTGCTTACAGATAAAAAGTCCAATTTCATGGCATTCAGCCACGAAACCGAAGCAATTCAGAACTTATTTCCTGGACACCAGAAACAAATTAGGAGCAAAACTGAATTGGGAAGCATTCCACTTTGGTAAAACTGCAAAGATGTAATAATTTCATTCAAAAAATATCAACGTAAAAATAATTCTCAAAATATCGATATGTCAGAAAATCATCTGATAATAGAAACAAAAATAAGGCATTTCCAAATTATTTCAAGAACTGATTTTTACAAGTTTTTTCGAGTCTACTGTTCACAAATTGAAACATTGATCATCCATTAAAACAGCACAGCCACTGGATATGAATATGAGAAACGGGAACGCTACTAAAGAGCAGAAACAAACAATATAAATTTGTCATTGGCCAAACGTCATATATCCATAACCAAATTTAGTAACAATTTTCAATCCTATCGAGCAGATATATGAAGGAATGGTAAAGATGCAGTGAAAATCGGAATTTCGAAATTACTACGACATCATATCAGCAACTGGAAGTGGTTGCACTGCTGACATAACATCACCATTGATAATTTCCTGGATCTGAATTTATAATGACGGATTGTGAAAAACAAAAATTGAAAACAGAAAACAACCAAATTAAGTCAATTGCAAATTAAAAAAATTGGTTCTTAGCTATATCTGCAGGTTTGAAACTAAAAATGTTTTAAGAGACAGGAATAAACTTCGACAAGAAATTCCCACAAAGCATAGATTGGGCGATGTTTTAGCAAGAAAAAGGACCGGCATGAAAAGATATATTGAATACTTACTGTCTTTCGAAACATATTCATATTTTGTGTGAATGCATCCTTGTTTCGAGTACTTACATTCCTTTCTACACCGTCCATTAGAGATGTGAAAGCCTTAAAAAATAAAATAAGAAAACATCTAGTTGCCTAAAATAGGAGGCAGATCTAAGACTTACACTGAATGATTATAGAACGTAGCAAGACAAACATCAGCATGTTAAAATGATAGTGTGGTTACAGACATGAAAGACATTGAATGACAACTAAAGTTATATAATCAAAACATATGCTTGAAAACTATTACTAAATGTCATTCCATAAAACCATTACTTGGATTACTTGGACGTTATTCAACCATAATTTGATGTATCTGTTATATATACCTAAATGTATCCATTTATTTTACGATGATTTTACCCTATGAACTTATGTGAACCATAAGGTTACTAGACAGTAAAAAACATTATGAGAAAAAAGCCAACTTCTTCAAATGCAGCACGTTTATCCTGCGGCTGATTCGCCAATAATTCCATTTTCCATTGCTGGAAACATTCTTCTTGCAGTAAAATCAAACCAAGTAATGGTCGTGACAATGACCACTGACATTTGACATCCTCGAACAACGAGGCATTCAATATCGTTGACAGCATCTTAAATACGCAAGTTTATAAACAGAATTCTTGATGGAAGTTGACTGATTTCATCAGTGAGATTTGACAAAGAATATGATTTATTTCAATTCATCGATAAAGTGTCCCATATCATTAATAAGGTGGTCAGTGCGACACTTGTACGGGGAATAAACAGGGAATACAAATTTAGATAGGTATAACGTAGATTGCAGTGAAAGTATTGTAGTGAAAAAAATATAGTAGTATTGTGGTGAAAAAAATATTCGCAAACAAAATTAATTCATTTAATTTCATTTCTTCAACTAACTTATTCACCAAACTCCAGCGCTTTAGTAAAATAAGTTTAACCTGAGGTAATAAAGATGGCTGAGCTTCAAGAGCATGTATACAATTCTGTCCCTCTGCCTCAGCACCAACATGAGCTCGAGGCGGAGCTGAGCGTGTTAACCGACGATAAAGATAATTTAATATTAGATCCAGGGTTGAGCATGATGCTGTTACCTGAACCAAACAATTATGGAGAATTATAATTTCAAGAATTTCAAACGCAAAAAAGTGAAACATTTCATAACTAGACACAAACTTAGCGATGTCTACTGAACCATGGTTTCCGTTGTTCATGTTTCAAATCAAAAACCTTTCTAGACCGATCAATGTTTGTCCAAAAATTAAAAACATTTGGTTTGTCACAAAATCCCACAGTTCTAAATGAAATAATCCAAAAATAAATAATAAATGAAATCTCAAAAAAAGAAAGAACTTACAACAATAGGATCAAATGAAACAATTGCCTGCTCAATATATCGCATCAAAACCGTGAATACTTCTGGTTTAATATTTGATAAGAAGCATATATTATCCTGTGCAATAGATTCTAATAACCAATGGAAATTTTGGATTATTTTCGAATAAGACTGAAAAATTAAAATGACTGAACAAAAAATTCATTAAAAAAAATCAAGTAGATAAGGCATTAGAAAGAAGTAAGTGTAAAGTATTAAATGCTTATGCTTTCGATAAATTAGTCCAAAAGTAGTTTTGAAAAACATCATTAATGACCATACACCTTCTTATTAATATTTTAGTCGTAAATCTGCTTCTAACAAAGACTCTTAATTACTAAATTCCTTCTGTAAGCTTTCCTATTATATCAAAAGAGTTGATAATTAACATTTATAACAAACAGTTTGATGAAAAAACTAAGTTGCAGTACTTCTTCAGTATTTTTCATAAGACTTGCCTGAAATTCTTCCTCTGGTATGTACATGAGAAGCTTCACAAACATTGCTAAGGCATCTTGGAGGCATGTGTCACCATATAATCGAAATACACCAAATGGAATATATGAACCATTTAAAGCCATTTTCAGTATAGCAAAAACAGTCCCAATATTTTTATATCTCTGCTTATAAGCATTTTCAGGAACTACTTTAGGCAATGCTAACATTCTTTCACCTGAAAAAATTAAGAAAAAATATCGTAAACATTTATTTCAATCCAGTCGTTACGAGAAAACAGGTTATTGGAAGAAGAAAAATCTAAAGAAAAAGACTTTTAGTCTATATGGATGATGTTATTGGAAACTTCATGCACAGCAAAACATTTACTAACCGTATGTACAGATGATTTTTGATACTTCCCGAAACAATAACACAGCACTACACGATGACATCTCAAACTGTAATCGTTGTTGACGATTTTGACATAATTCCACTAATAATTTCAATATTGGACTAACCACCTCCGTGCAATCTGCCCAAACATCAACTGACCGAACCAAAATTGAAAATACATTTGGGTACCTAAAAATTTCAAATTTTTGTGTCTCATATTTCAATTTATCTAAAAATCTCCAAAAGAAGCCAATCAAAGAAATTGATTCATATAATTTTACATTAGAAATTGGACTTTTTTTGAAGATCTTTGGAGTGTGTTCTATCAAACGCACGGGCGATTATTTGAATTTTTCCATCGCTTGTATGTAAATATTACATATCATTCACTTAAGCTTAATCGCAGTTTATTTCTTTTAACTTTCAAGTGATTCAAATATAACTACGTCTTTTTTTCCATCTGTGGTATCAACTGATTATATTAAAGACTGCTCTAAGCTGAATTTCAAGTGAAAAAATTCTAAATGAAGAGAAAATAGTTCTGCACTAGATCAAAAATACACATAACACAGACGACAATCTATTTAATTAAAATGCTAAGTCTTAATTCAGTTTTCACAAGTTAAAGTGTATGTTCTACGAAGGAAAAAAGAAAAGACAAATCAAAAAAAGCTATTTATGTTGATGGACTCATCAAAACAATGTCATCATTAAAATTATTCCAAAAAAACACTTGATCTAATCGTTTCAATTCTTTTCTAACTTAAGATTATGGATTACTAAACTATGAAGGGGTAAGTTCCTAAAAACGCCAAATGATTAACATGGTTCCGTCTACTTAGTTTGCAACTGAATGAAATATTGCTATAACCATAAGCCATGTTTCTTCAAAATGTCGTATCCCTATTACACTTTAGCTATTATTCAAAAATAGTAAATTACATTTCGAAACTTACATCCAGTCGAATAACATTGAAAAAACATATTTCGTATTACATGCTGTCGAAATCCCTCGAAGATCCCGACAAAGACCAACAACAGCACGCTACAAAATGTTTCGAAGAAATCATATGAACAAATTTGTCCACATAAATTACAGCTTAAGAAACATTGATAAATATTTCTGGAGACATCAATGACACGAAATGCATAAAAACTGCGGAACTTTATCATGTAAAACTCTTTACCGCAATACTTAGTGAAAAATGGAATAAAATTTAAGAACATAGGTGTTAGAAGAGGCTTCACTGTTTGCTTCACTTTAGAAAATTTGATGAACAAATTAATACAAACCTTAACACGCTCCTGATCAACAGTTGGTGCACTCATTGCAAAAACATCATAAATTTCCCGCACAGCATCTAAAATTCAATTTGATTGCGCGCAAATAAGAATATCAACGAATAAGGCTCACTTATAAAACCTAGCAATAACTAATAATCCGAGACTTCGGCCTATCATCAAAGATGTTAAGCTAAGCTGCGAGCTCAAAACTTCAAAAAAAACACACTAATTAACCCCTTCAAAGTAACAGTGAATATGCTGCAATAAAGCAGTAGAGAATTCTGGCGAAAATACTAAGTGAAAAACTAATTCACTTTAAAATGATGCATTAAATTATAGTTATAAACGGTAGAATAAATAAAAGATAGGATTTGCGGAGCAATAACGAAAAAGGTTACTGCTTTAGGAAAATAAAAATACTATGTCACCAATAAGTTCCAATTCTCAAATTCTGCTCCAAATATGTTAAATCGGAAAACCTCTATACTTCTCTCAAGCCATAAGGCATATCCTAGTAATTCCAAAAAAAAGGATAGTAATTTTTAACTGCAAAAAAGTAAGAAACCTGTTAAAGGTTGCATAAATGAATAGAATGTCGCATCGCTGTCATTTAAATCTAAACATAACAACCGCATCAACGAAGCATAAAATGTTGTCCGTGATCGCATTGTCATCAAATCAGCTTCCGAAGACAAAAACGAGAAATGTTCGCACTTGAAATTAAGATTAATTAAAAAATAACAAAAAAATTTCTGATGAAAATTTATATGACAAATCAAAATCACTTGTCGGTTCAAAAATCAGTCGAATATTTAAAATTGTATTTCGTATGTTTGCACCAGTAAATCCTTTACTATGCCAAATATTTGAATTCTCAAGAATGTTGATTACCTAATTCAGCTGTTTTTTTATCTTATCAAGACTGCATTTTAATACTTTCAGAATAAACGAGTGGTATAACGTTTTATTCATTCACATTTCACCCATCTAGCAAGCCGGAACAAAATCAAAAGAACAGAAAACCTGCCTTTCGGTATCGTTTATTTGTGCTGTTTAATTAATTATCGATGGAATATAACACATACCGAGTGATTATTTAACAGTAGCTGTATGTCAGGTAATCGCATCAAGCGACGACCAGCTGAAAAACCGAGTGAAAGTTCGTTAAGCAACACTAAACTGTCATCCACCAGCTTCTCTTCGGTTCCCCAATATTTCAGATTCGTAATACTGCAATGATTGTTATTTTATTATTTATTCATCGGTAATAGGTATTACTTGACATTTAATAATATTAGGTGAAATAAAGTGATAAAAATACGTTGAAATGATATATATATGTTGAAATGAAATGAATATCGAGCGTTTAAACCATAGAAAATCTAATCAGGAATTGAAAAGAATTATTTGAGTGGGAAAAAGCACAGAATCGTGTCGAAAATGAAATCACATCAATGACAATAAGGAAATTACCAAAAATTAACTAAAAACTGCAGATTATCTATTCCAGCATGTAAGATGAGAACAACCAACTTCGATGAATAGTTAAATTACGCAACTAAAATATTTAGTATTTAAAAAACTTACATTTTACGAGCGTATACAGTAATTACAGCAGTTTCATCCTGCAAGCCAAGATTCTTCTCGAGTTGATCATAGACTTTACTAATTTTCTGGATCTGATCACTAACATAAATTTTTCGAAACTGATCTAACATATACAGATAAGCCACCTCAAGCTTAAAATTCCCTGGCATACCAGCTGAAAGTCGTGAATCCGACAATTCCATAAGTTTTAATACCCTGAAGATTTTATGAGGAACAAAAGTCATGCAATTTTTAACATAATGATTAAAAATGAAATTTTACTCAAATTAGTTCCTAAATACTTTTTGATCATTAGTGATTAAAAACAAGTTTCACTCATATTAAAGCAAAAAAATATAGTGAAAATTAGGAATAACATTAGGATTGAATTTTTTTTCCTTTTCTCTTTGTAAGAACGAAACTTTGACTTTTGCCACTTTCAAATTTCTGCTAAATTTTACAGCCTAACTCATGATGGGCATTTATATATTCAAAGTTAGCAACCAAGAAAAATAAGACACAATGATACTAACCTGCAAACGAGGTTTCCATCAACGACATCATGTTCTTCACAATTACTGTACGATGCTCGACCCTGTATTGCTGCACCAATTATCGTTACTAACCACGTCAAACAAGCCACTGACTCACGTGCTTCAGTGGACTATAATTACAGGCATTTTATGCTTGAACTTTGGCTTGCATGTTTTACAATTTCTGGTAAACATGCCTCAGCTGAATGTTTTACTCTGATTTCCGACAAAAATTTTCCTTAAACTCTCTGCAGTAGTTGCGCCACAATTAAATTCAACATCGACTAAAATTCATAAAGTTTTCACAAAATCATTAAAGAATGAATTTTATAACAGTTTTGATAATGAATTTACGCAAAACATACTGGCGGATTATTGGCTAAACGCTCGTATATCGTGTAGTCATGATCAAATAATCGCACAATCAACTGCGCTGATTTTTCATATTCACAACGACAAATGATAGCAATCTGTTCCATAACCTGCTGGATGGCGCCCTGGTCGTCTAACGGATCATCGCCTATATCGCCCCTGCACATAGAAATATGGAGGAGTGTACAGATTTAAAAACAATATAGTTAGAAGCAACTTAAACCAACATCATTTAAAATTAAAATGAGATTGGAAACTTAAGAGTTGGAAGCCCCAACTTGAAACAAAAACTGAATGCAAAAGCAAGAGATCGGAAACAAAAAGAAACGATACATGCACATTCCATGTTTTAACGAATTTTGCTTGTCTATTCGTCAACGTCTAATATGCCTTACATCCCGTTCTCTTCTAAAAGCCAGATTACAAGCACACCCTTTCTTATCTTTCAAACTAAGCAGAATTCTTATCCAGTTTTTGAACAATTGCTTTCGCCTCCACGCTCCATAACAGTCTTAATCCTTTTTTGAAAAATGATCTGATCAAAGGAAGGTACTTATCAGAGCTGTTCTGTGGCACTGATCAAAATTCGAACTTAAACCCTTTCTATAAGCATATTTTACTACAGCCACAGTGTAACCTAATATGCACCATGATATAAATGAAGGAAAAAATATATATCATCATGAACAGGAAATTTATTTGCTAAAAATATTTCGTCCGTAAAGATTAATGTACCTTGCAACAGCTCGTGCATATTGTAAACGACTTTCCACGTAAGTAGCAGTAATTTTGGGGCAATATAAATTGAGTAGATGTGGATCCGCAGCTTTCACGTACGGTACTGATGAAACCATACGTTGCCAAAAAGATAATAAGTAGTAAGAACTGTTTGCTGAGAATTCATAAGCCTGAAATGGAAATCTAAGACATATTTTTGAAGTTTACAAAAGCTTATCGAACGTCCCCTGTCTCCCATCAAAACACTAGAATTATTTCTATCTGTTCGACTTTCTGATCGAAGACATCTTGAATGAACGTGGACTTCCAAAGAGATTTATAAAGCTCACTATTAAACCACCTCTGTTTTATTTATATCAGATAATAAGTGATTCAAAGAATAAGCAGTCGAATATCAGATAAATAACTGCGAAAACCTACCCGCAAACTTTGCTCAGTGAAATCCGCCAAAAGGGCGATGACTGTGGAATATTCTTCAACTTTCATCAATTCAATTAATTGATAATTTCCTTTTAAGCGCGACACGATGCGGCAAAATTCATGGAAACTCTCCTGAAAACACAAAACACTCAAAGAGTCAAATCTGACGAAGTAAATAACAAACCTGAAGTATTAAAACAACTAAAGAAGTAATTTTCAAATCTTCACTATGAATAGGACAACTTGTACATTAACAGCGGTATCTTGATGTTATTAATGACAAGAAAATTATGATGAATAAAATACGTTGCCTTCATAAGTTCAAATGTTCTCCATTACTACATCTTAACCGACTATAATTACAATTAAAATACGCAAAATTCACCGATATACCTGTTGCCGAAGTTTATCTGGCTGTTCCATGATTCCTTTAACACCTTTAACAATATGCGTCAAATATGTTTGCCGTTCTGGATTTGAAAACAATGTTCGTCGAAGAGAGCTCAACTGGACAATATTTTGTAACACACGTGTCGTCAATTCAATAGGTAAGTCATTGTACAAACGGAAAAACATCGTTATTAATTCACCATCAGTAAACGCTAGAACAGAGAATAAACTCTTCTTTTACTCTCAACACAGTTATCAATCAATATATGTTTCGAAAGCAAACAACACATATTAAAAAAACAATAGCCAGCCAGCCAACCTTCATGTTATGCTTTTATGGTAAAATAAAAATTGAAGCAGATGACAGAACAGTCGGACGAATTATACATATTCTAACAATCACACATTGTATCAAAAGCGTTATCCTAACGGATTGAAAAAGCTTTAGCCATCTTAACTGGGATAAGACTAAACAGTTTTATTAAACGTTTTTCTTTATGCCAAATAGTGGAAAAATAACCCAGCCTCCACAATGTCGGTACTTGAACAGTTGCATTATCATCGTTTGTTTCATCCGATAAGCTGCCAATAAAATCAAAAGAAAGGCAGTTTAGAGTAAGCTGTAACAAGCTGCTGACTGTTGGAAGCTAGAAAGAAGGACGAATGCGCTAATTTGATCTAACAATTCTAAATTTCGACTTTTCGACAGTTCGAAACTGGTATGAGTAAAAAAATTTGCTATGAATAAAAAAAAAATTTGCTGAGTGAAAAATGAAACGGGCATATAGAAGCCGTCAAACAATTTGTTCATGTGAAATATAGAATTCATGTATGCTTCGTTTCCACTTCTATCGATTCGCTTCGATTTACTAGAAGTTTCCGAAAATACATCTCTATGTGATGTGATACTAAACAATACGGTACTCAATTTAATAATTACATACCTCTCTTTCATCTATCCTACCACTAACAGTTTTTCGAAGCATTGCTGTTGACAATTCAAATATGTCAAATAAGTATCCATCACGGAAACTTGATAAAGTCTTCCGTTGCTTTGTGACAGTTTCAAAACCAACATCCTGGAAATGAATGTTCAAAAGATTACTTCTTACTTTACTAATCATGTAAAAGATTGTATCATGATCTAAGATAGTTTGCTATATTTATGCCACCTTAAAAACCTCTGGTAACTATTTAGGCACCAAGGCCAGAGTAACGTGATAGTGAATATCGATCACATGGCAGCGAATGCACTATTTGTCCCTAAGAAAAAACAGCAGAATGGATATGTCAATATAAAAAATCAAGATATTAACAGATGATCAAATATTCTAAAAACTCCATATTATGTATATGATTCGCATTTAAATTTCGTTATATCATTAGAGTTTCCAAAATGTTACCATAGATACTGAACAGTCAAATTTTGCGATTAAATGAAAACAAGAAAAAATTTAAATATTAAAAAAGTCAGAATCATAAAAATTCAAAAAAATTCATTCCCATAAATTTTATAGGAAATTGATTACATATCGACATTTGCGCAGCTTAAGAAACTCTTTAAAAGATGAACTGTTTCCCGTAAAACGTTGTCTATAATTTCTACAACATAAACTCTTAGCATATTTTGGCTTATTAGCCAGTATTCGGTACATGAAATAAGCTCTCATCGATATCAAAACATATTTTTTGCAAAAAAATTTTTGAACACACAAAGTTTTGAATATATTAGATACTTGAGCGCACAAATCTCAAAGTGCAGTCCTCTTCAAAAAGCCCAAACACAATTACATGATCAAAAGTCACAATTATAAAATTCTCGTGTTTTACGCCTTTCTCCTTCTCTTTCATTTCACATAATTGTAAATTACGACATCGCTTGCAGGAAACAATTTTTTTTCGATATCAAAAACATTATTTAAAAGTCACAAAAATTTCCTCGAATATTTAGTACGGTCAAGAAATATCCTGAAAGAATATTTGATGTGATATGTACACAAAACTTCGTGAAAACTCACCGAATTGATATCTGACACTAACGTTGCCAATAATTGTACAGCCAGTAGACCTTTTTCTGAATTTTTCTAAAAAAATAGAACGAGTTTGATATCATTTTTTTTACAGAATGTGTTCAATTATAAAAGTAAAATAAACTGCTAAGTCGTATCATACTTCCAAACAGTTGTTTAGATCATATCTTTCTCAACTGCAAATGCTCAGATTTTTTCTAATTCTCTAATAGATATAACCAAAAAAAGTTTATACTTACTCCTGCAAGTTTAATGATTGTAGAAACGGGTTCACGAAATGGAAAAGTTTGACTCTCTATATCATAATCATGCCATCCGAGTTTTGTTATCCTGGTAAACAGCTGATACAGCGAGGAAAGTACAAATGGTGGCAACGCCGCAGACCGTTCATCCAAATAATGAAGTAAGTATGTGTCTAAAATTGTGAATTACCGTAAAATTAATTAACAATAGAAAGTATAATGCGTTTTATTCAGCTTGAAAAACATTAGATTAAAACTCTCGTTGATCTTTTCCAAGAAAGCAGATCTGAACTCCAATTGCAGTGCGATGAAAATATAAGTGGAGAACATATAAAACCGAAAAAGATACATTGAAAGAATTTTCAAGGAAACCGATAGACATCCAGTGTAAATACTGTTCTGTTCATAATGCTTTATTTAGAGATTTTGCACATTTTTATTGTTCATTTGCTAATTAGGAAAATTGTTAGCGAGAAGTGAAGTTTAACTTGGGTTGATTAAACCCTCGGAAGAGAAAATAATTTTCCCCACGCCTAATAATTGAACTATTCATTCATCTTAGCTCCATTCGCCATAATCACTATCATCCTTAGATTACAGTGCTTCATCCAATGAAACACTGTTCAAAACCATTTGATTAAAAACTTACTTAATTCCAATCGCTGCTGTAGAGATACGGCAATCTTTGAGCTAAGTAATTTCATCAATGTATTGCTGGCAACCATATGAGCGAACGGTGCCTGAAATAATGAATTTGAATTTTAATACCTTATAATGAATTTAGAATCTATTAAAACCCTTTACATAAGTCAACAATAAATTAATGTAACCAACGAAATGACATACTAATATGGCAATATCTAAAGTCACGGTCTTTATTCACAACACATGAACATGTAAATTAAAAAACCTATTATAAAAAAAAGATAGCTCATTCAACGTCGAAAAATCTGAAAATGCAAAATAACTCAACGTAATATGCCAAAGAAAAAATTGGAAATCATATCTACAGAAAAATCTTTTCTTTACTAAAATATGTTATCCTGCGAGAAAAGGAAACCGCTTTGTCTTTAAGAAACGATGAAAGTTTAACTAACACTTCACTTTATTAAGTTATTTTGGAATATAACGTACAGTTCCGCTTTGAAGGAGTAACATACATCGCCTCAAGCAATCCGGCGATGACGTCAGTTCGGCTAAATTTTGTTCTGCTTGAAGTCTTCTAGTGCCGTCAATACTTTCATACAGTACTTTACATAAATTGTCAAGTGCCTAAAAATTTTTGATATATTTTTGATATATTTTGATATATTAATAAATTAATACTTCAGAAGTGAACAGATTTTTCGCTTTTTCCTCGATGAATTTAAATACGGTAATTCTTGGCAAATAAAATTTTAATTACACTAAATCTTGGATATTTATTTCACAATCCAGTGGAAGTATACGTGGGCATAACAAAATTCTACTCCCGGACAATATCTAAAGAAATTTATTCTCTTTCCAACTATGTTTTCATCAAAACACACTTGGGTAAGTTATCATGGACACATAAATTAAGTTTCAGGTAACAAAATTTCTCATGCTATATACTAGACTTCATTAGATTTCACACTTACGAAATTTGAAAGTGGTAAACATACCCGTATTTCAGTATCCATCTTATTGTGTCGCGGCAATTACACTCCTGACACTCTTTCCTGATATGCAATCCTTGCGAAAACCGTTGGGTGAAAGTTGAAAAATATTACCTAATAAGAAGGAAATCGGAACCCTTGAAAGTGATTCATAATTATCACCAATAAATCATTTTTTTTAAGCAAAACTTAAACGTTAAAATAGAAAAATGTTGAGAACCTATGAACCTTTTCCTCAAAAAGTTAAAGACATAATTATAGACCTATGTTTACAACTTCTCCCCCTCTGTTTCATAAAATCGAATCAATTTCGACTACACGCTTCAATATATCACCTTTTACGTGTGCTTACGATCGCCCGTTTCCCTTCTAGGGTATTTTAGTCTTTCCTATTTCCCTGCCACAATCTGCGATATTTTTTGTTCCACTTATACTTAAATATTCTGCTGTTTCATTTTAATGTAATAGTACTTATGTCTGCTATCAATTATTCCGTATACATGCAATCTAAATTCCACAGTTATAACACGAACACAACTCTGAATTTAAAAACACTTGGTAACGGTCGAAAAACTATAGATGATTTTCCAGTTCTAAAACGTACAATACATTCAAAAAAAAATAGAGATAAATCCAACTACAAATAACACTGAAGTTCATAGGAAAAAACGCTCCAAAATAGAAAGCTATTTTCTCTTATTGAGGGTTATATATTATCAATACTATAATAATCTTTTTTATTGATATCACAACCATTAATCGTATATCAGATTGATATTATCTCTTCTCACATTTGCATTTTATCAACTCATACCCAAACTATCGTCACTGCTTTTTAGGATTGCTATCGGATAAGTTAAATAAACGGATGAAAGTTCGTAATGGTCAGTTTATAAGTTGAAAAGAATGAAACCTCCAGACCAGCAATCAACATATTTTTAGCTAAGTACATGAAGGAAAAAACCTTAATGAAGATTCATTGCAGCCTCTGCAAACTAACCAACTCATTTTGACCATTCTCCTACCCAATCCAATCTGACCCATCCGCCTATCCCATCTTAATAACACTACTTTTAACGGAAGCTGAAATGCGCACGAAACCAAACAAACCATGCCGCCCAAACATGGACGCGCTATGAAATAGCACTTATGCCTTTAGCAATTGAAAGTACTGGATTCCTGAAAGAATAAAGTAGATTTTTAGTAATATAGCCGATTATTTTTAATCTATAATCGCTGTCATCTATTATTGCTTAATTTTCAATATATTTAGCTTAATGATATAAATTTCACTTATAGTTCACTTAGCTATATAAATCTAATATATATATTATTATATGTAATTATGATACATAGAAATATTATTATATTGATGGATTTAAAATGAAAAATTCCTTCGATAATGATTTTATCAATCACCGATGATAAACATATTCGTCATGAACGATACGATATTGATCAATTGATCAATTTTTAACTAAATTAAAAATTTTGAAGTAAATCTATCATCAATGATATAAAAGAATCTTTTTATATTCCCTCTATCATTTTGCAATATTATTTTCTGTTTTATGTAAATATATTTTTATTTGATTTTTTTCCTCAAAGTTTTCTCAACGTTTTCTGCTTGCTCTATTTTGTTTTGATAAAATTGCTTGAATGATGTAATTTCTATATGATGGCAAACAGTGGTATAGGAGATAGGAGCCGATACATGGCGATACATGGCAGTTGACCTTCCGGTTGTTCTTTCTATACGGTACATGGCGATTGATATTCCGGTGCATTTGGTGCCTATGCGTCAGGTCGCATACAATAATAGATATAGAAAACAAGGTATACTTTCTACTTAGCTATATTTTAAATCATTCTATTAAATCTAACTGATATCTTTCTTTATGAAATATTTATATAACATTTCATTGTTGCGACATATTCTGAAGTGAAAAATTGCGACATATTCTGAAGTGAAAAATTGCGACGTATTCTGAAGTGAAAATTATATTTCGATTTCTACTGAGGATGAATGCTTGTATTCAATATTGTAATAATAGCATTTATGAATGAATTTTCTAATTTCATATTATTCTTGAAGAATTTCGTTTACGAAATAATCATCAAAGAATCTTTCACATCACTAATTATTTCACACTGATTTGAGCTTAACGGATTGAGAATGGGTGGAAAGAAGGATGGATATGTATGAAAAATAAGTAAAGCATATTCTGAAGAAAATTTAAGTCAGAAATCTAAAAGCATTTTCTTTAATATTAAATGAGTAAATTAGAAAGAAAGAAGAGAAATAGATTGGCTTCCACCATAATTGCATACTCTTACATAAAGGAGTTTTCTAAATGCTTAATTTCGATTTAATTAAAATTAAATTGCTTTCAACTTAAATTTTAGACTTCTTTTACTTCAAATGGAGCGATTGAATTTTCAATGCGACGAAATGTTTTTGCAGATATTGCGAAAATCGCATTTTGTTTTTCTTTTTGTACCTTGCGACGTCTGTAAGAATTACCGTTTTGTACTTATAAACTTTTTGTACTTATAAATAAAATTTCTTCAGAAGTTTTGCTAAGGTCATTGTAAAAATTGATAATCATCGGCCAGAATGGAAGATAATGGAAGAAGAAAAAAGTAGTTGTCAGCTTTTACAACAAGCAGTTTTTTATATATTTATGAATTGCGGATGAAGTATTCGTTGTTGAGTTTATTTAGCGGTACCTTATTTAATTAATAAATTTATCGTCGAATACATTATATTATTTAAATTCAGAGTAAGTTCTGAAGTTAAGAAAAAACCTAAGCGCATAATACCTTTACTAATAGACATTCGAAAGTATTATTTTCTTATGCATCAAAAAAGGAAATAAGAAGATAACTATTACGGAAGCAGGGTTGAAGATTTAAAAATTGCGCATTTTATATTTTAGCAATGGAATCTTTGTAAAAAGTCTATTTCACATCTTTGTTACCTTCAAATGATTCAGGTCATTTACTCTATGATTAGATTATTTTCCGGAATAAATCAAGCAGAAAGGAAATGATGTAAAGTCTAGCTCCTTCTACAATAATTTTATCAACAATCTTTTATTATAGATTATACAAAAAATTATTTTTCTCTAAATATCTAATTTTTAAAATTCACGAAGTTACAATTTCTTGTGTCTAAAAATCTTTCTATTCAAATTTTGATAATAAATTAATTTCTTCCTAAATCAAATTATTCAAATTTTTGCATTATAGAAATTTATTTAGTAATTTAGTGATTAATGAATCAATTGATTATTTGATTAATGATTTAGTGATTAATGAATCAATTAATATTTTTATAAATAGCTAAAAAGTGGAATGCAGCTGTCATCAAGAATTTCTATTAGGAATATTCGATACAAATTTTTTCATATGCTTTATCAATTTAATGATATATCAATTAAATCGGTAATTGAAGCTGTAATTCAGCTATTATAATTATCACTTTGCATCTCTTCATCATATTTTCTATTTTCTGGTGGATTTGTTTCCCGTATATTTGTCTGTAATTGTTTGCATTAAGAAATTTGAATTTTTTAATTTAGAAGTAAAATAATTAAAGTTATAGCGAAATAAACTGAAATAAATTAAATGAACAAATACTCAAGCTATGAGTCAATCATGATGATTATTAAGTGGGCGGATAGTTAAATATTTAAATAAATAATAAGCAAAAGTTTCGTTAAATGATAGAATCAAACTTTACATCTCTTTTTATCTCATTTTTTTCATTTATGTTATTATTTATTTAAGTATTTAATTAATTATTATATTTAAATATTAATTAACTTTTCAATTTTTTCTCTACCTAAAATTCTTTATTATAATTTCAGCGTTAATTTGCATATTAAAATTCAAGAAGAAAAAATTGAAAAGAATTTTAGGATAGAGAAAACTAACGAATCGTCCCATGCTTACAACGATAAATCGTCCAGTCTCTGCTTTATTAACAGTCATATAAAAAAACGGTGTATCAAAAATAATATCCGCTTGTACATCTGAAGGATAATTTAAACTCTTAATTTAAATTGTTACTCTAATAAGAAAATTTGCTAAAAAAAATAATCATTAAATTTTGGTATTTAAATATAGCTAATTAATCGATTAGTTAATTATAGCTAATTCAATTGTTTTACTTAACGAAGCACCAAAAATAATATCCGCTTGTACGTCTGAAGAATAATTTAAACTCTTAATTTGAATTGTTATTCTAATAAAAGAATTTGCTAAAATAATAATCATTAAATTTTGGTATTTAAATATAGCTAATTAATCGATTAGTTAATTATAGCTAATCCAATTGTTTTACTTAACAAAGCACAAATCCAAAAAATTACATTTCATTTTAAATTTCCAATGTCATCTAATAATTTTATTGTAACACATTGTATATTCATTTATGCATACTTGTGATTTGGTTTTGCTCTGTTGCCTTAAAATATGAATTAATGCCAGTTGCCTCATCTTTCTCTATCATTATGTTATGTATTTTATCAGGAAATGATATTTCAGGTCCTTTCAAAAATATTGATCGTTTTCCTGTAAAAAAATTAAAAAGGTATAATTAGCTAAGGAAACACTACAAAAGGTAAATAAAATTAAAAGAATAGAAATTAATGAATATGATAGTGGAAACGGATCGAAATATTCAATAGACAATATGAAATGATTTATTCAACAGATTTTAGCAATTATTTCAAATTGAAATTTTGCAAAAATTATACGTTGTAAAATTATCGTCCGCAATTTTGCCACCGTTTCTTTGTTTAAAGTTTCGCCAGTTAAAAACTATAAATCAGAATATAAATCAATAAATTTACTTATCTGTATAATATTTTAATAATCATCATATAATTCGAATATCACTATCATTGAACAACTGATAATGATGATAGCACTTAGTAAAATTAGTACAAGTGAACAGTGAATGTAAGTTTTGGGAGAAACAATAACTATCACAAAAGAAATTTCAATCCCAAGCTAATTGTAATCGAATGCAACAATTATCTCTATCATTGTCATTATCATCATCTCTTGTCATATCTATGATAAGTTGATTATTTTCCTCATTTTGTTAGATAAAATATGACGAAAAAATAAGTGCTGCTAAAGTTTGCATTTATTAATTACATGCAAATTTTTGAATCCAAAAATTTACATGTGTATTTTTCCTTTCGATTTCTGCACCCGCTGCGAAACGTCGCTTGCGAATTTCATCTTGCGATTTTTGCATCTGAGAAGAAATAGAATTTTAGCTTTTAATTTTAATCTCTTCATTAATTTCATCTCCTCATATATTATCCTATTTTTATTATTTTTATTTGATTGAAATTTAACATTTATTAATCCATTTTTATTTAGCTTAATTAATCTATCATCACTGTTGGCAACTTTTTCAATTCTTTACTAAAATATCATCCGTTTTTCTTCTTCCTTACTTTCAGGTAAAACTTTCATTTGCCTAAAGTTTTTATTCTAATTTTTTTCATAATTATTTTATGAATAATTAGCTTAACACTTTTATCATCATATCGAAATGAAAGATTTACCGAATCTTGAGATAAAGTTGATGATAGCGTTTTACTTTTAATGGCATTATTTTGATGATCGTTCTTATCATCTTTTACTTCATCATGTTGCGTTGCTTTAACCCTTTTAGAAAGCTGTCGATTAATTCCGGTTGATTTATTTGTTGATAAATGGAATGAATTTTTTCTTACATTATCCGGTACTCTTTCAATCATCGAATAGCTTCTAAATATTTTAACAATCGGAAAATATCGTAATTCCAAATAAATTCTTTGAAAATGATCGTTATTGAGCAATGATAATTATCGGAAATATTCTAAATTTACGACAAATTTAGTAAAAAAAAAACTTTTGTAAAATTTTATGCATAAAACTTGAAAATGAATAATTCCGGAAATGAAGAAGAGAAGACAACGGAAAAAAGGAAACTGAAACTAGATTATTTATTATTCGGAGATTGAAATGAAATAATCCGGAATCTTATATCAAATGAAAAAAGAAGAATAGATAAAATAGAATGGAATAAAATACGATACCTGAAAATATTTTTATATTGCTCAATTAAATATTTACCTGTTTATAATTGAATAATTGAATAACTGCGAAAGTAAGACTTAATTTAAGCTTTAATTAAATGATGTAAAATTTTCGATTAGCGTTGTTTACTTTTTTCTGCCTTCCTTCTTCCAGCTAGTAGACTGTTGAATTCCCTTTTGCATCGGTAAACTATGACTGGAGCGGTCTTGTAGCGATCTCTTCGGTTGACGTATACTCTTTTTCCTTACTGCATTGCTGCCACCAATTGCGCTTATCCTATGTCATTAAAAGTAAACCTATATATACTAACATGAATATACAACTTATGTATAGAACTTAGAAGTTTGCACAACTGTTAATGTAGTTTGATTATATGGCGCTACTAATTTCTTAACCGTATGCCATAACAGATTACGCTTCCGACAGCTTTCTGAAAAAAGAGACATCCATGTTATCATCCTAAATATACATATATAATTGATATGTAAATAATACCTGTTCAGATTTCCTCCTTTGCTTTTATTCAACGTTTCTGATTTAGAAAGTGAACTGAATATTCCTTTACTATCAAAATCTTTATCTTTTTCATCCTGTAAATTAATTTAAATCTATTATACGGAAATGAAAGTTAAACGATTTATTCATATTTGAATAGTTATTATACCCCGTCTTATGCGGGGTAGGAAAAATGATGAATGATTAAACGACTAGATGAGCTATGTGGCAATTTTCTATGCAAGAAGAATTTGAAAAGAAGAAAAGAAAGAAAGAAACAAACCCCAAGAATTCCGATCATATAATTTTTCCGATTAACCTGATCTTTAATGATCATCACTCTTCCGGTCAGAGCTACAACTTGCTGATGATACTTTCTTGTCAATTCTTCTTTCATTGCTGTAGTAGAAAATACTTTTGTTCGCATTTTTGTCACATTCAAATTCTTTTTCTTAATTTAAAAACTATTGTTTTTTGCTAATTACTTCATTGAAATCGAAAAAATCAATATATCGTATCTTTCACCATTTTATCTTTTATTAAAAAGTTTGAAAATAATTTTAAGAAGAAGTTGTTACTTCGTTGAGCGGAAGTTATGATTGACATTTCATCTTCCGACATTGTTGTCTTCGGTGATCCAATTTTTAACTACAGCAAAAACAAATGAAATTGATATTATCGTTAAAACAATATGATCTTAGTAATCATAATAGATAAGTAGGATGGAAATAAGAGAATCAATGATAAAAGATTCGCTTCATTAAGCTTAGCACAATAAACAGTTCTTTTGTTTGCAAAACTTTTGCTGAAAATTTAATTCCCATAATTGTGAGAATAATTTGAAAATTTTCAGTTACAATTTAACACATACAACAATTTTAGTTTTATGATAATACTCCCAAAGTGGATATATATGAAATGGACCATAATTTTCCTGTGATACTTTCCCATATATTCTACCAAATTCAGCTTTATCCGGTGAAAATATTCGAGCAATGGATGGATACGGAAATATTGGATGTTTTTTTTTGGAAAAAAAATTACGGAACGGAATGCGTGATGCAAATACCGATCTTAAACCAACGGGTGAAGTTATCGAAAAGCGTGGAATTATAATCTGCAATTTGAAATTTGGAATTGTAAATATTCAACTGGAATATATCTTAATAGAAGTAACGAAGGTTTCACATTATCCTTTAATTAGAAATTTTCAAAAAATAAAAATTAGAATTTGGATTCGATCATTTCAAAAGCTTATGATAGAATCACCGATTGTTTTATCGGTTCATGGTCTATTTGATCGATATATCGTTGCAATTTTTTGGCATTTAGTGATTTCAGGAAATTTTTTGAAAATAGCATTCCTGGCTGAAAAAGGTACCTAAAATTATGGAATGAATCTAAAATAGAAATTTTATTAATTAATCATTTTGCAAAGAAGTTTTTTCAATTTTCGTTAAATTCATTATCCATATTAGTAATTTAAATATTATTAAAATATTACATTTTAAGGCTATCAATCTCGGAATCTAATTCTATGATACGTACACGATCATTGGTAAGACATGTACGAAACAATCCATCGCATCGATATCCTTTTATCTGAATTAAATTTTAGCTTTTTTCTAATTAATCAAATTATACCTTTTTTTAAATTTTAGGCGTAATTTTTTTTAATGAAATTTTAGGTTTAATTCTTTTAAATGAAATTTTAGGCTTAAAATATAAAAATTAACAAAATTTGCTTAATTTTTCCACTTTAATATATTAAAATAATTAGTTTAAGATTACCAGACAACGTGTATCCATAACTTTCTTAAATGTTTCGTAGAAAAATATTTCTACTTCTGTTACTTGACCAGTTGGCTTCCAATAGAATGTCGAATCGACTGCAGTAATCAATGCTAAACGTGCCCTTTGTTTTGGTGGCAAATCACGACGTATCACATTTTCTACGGTTCGTTTTGTTGCTTCCTAAATAATAGCAAAATTGTCATTTCTGTAACGAAGAAGAAAATCCAATGATTCATATTGTTAGCATACGAAAGAATAATTGATATAATTGATAAGAAAAAGAATAATCGATATGATTGATAAAGGATAAAAAATATTTTCATTTATTACTATCATTATTAATTACTTTAATATTTTTATTCATTTCATTAATAAGCGTTTGTCCATTTGGATTCATTTGAAAGCATATCGTTTGCACCACTTCTTTCGTTCTTCGTTCTTCCGTATCAGACATTATCATTTCCGTTTCTTCAGACTACAAAAAAAGGATAAGGAATAATAAAATGAAAAGTCTAAAAGGAAGTAAGAGTTAATTTGAATTAATTACCAACTAACCTCTGTACCATAATACTTTTCGATATATTCCATTAATTCATTATCAAATTTTAGTAAATGATTTTCTTCAAAGAATATTTTTATTATTCCTTTTGGTAACGATTTCAAGTATTCATTATAAAGATGATACAAATCTTCATGAATAGTTTTTCCAATAGATCGCTTAATTCCAAAAAGGGCTGTAAAAATAAAGACAAAAATATGTTTTAAAAAAATTCCTAATTTTAGTATAAGATTCTTTCGACCCATTTATTAATATTTAATTTATTGATCCGAAAATTTTCCGGAATTATTTATTTATTGTATAAAAAATTTGATCAATATTACTAGTGATATTTTATAATTCTTTCATTCCTATAATTCTTATAAATTATTCGTTAAAAAAAGAAACCAAAAATTCCTTTAATAATTTATCTCAATTAATTTATTCATTTTACCTCAAATTAAATCTTAATTCTACATATCACAAACCTTTTGAAATCAAATTAGTAAGTCTAATTTTGCATTTACCATCAGCTAATGCATGCAAAGCTGCAAGTCCACGGATAATTTCTATTGGTGAAATGGCAAGATTCCATTCTTCATTTGTTATACGTAAATTTTGCTACAATTTCTGTTAGATCTTACAGATATAAAATAAATTACAAAATTGCTTATAAGCCAAATTCGAAATACTAATAGTTTAATCTAAAAAATTATATGAATGAGATCCATTTATCAAAAACGATAATTTTAATGTGTATGTGATGATAAATTCAATCCGGTTTATTCCGGTAATAATTCATTCCGATAATTGTGGTAATAATTTGATGAAAGAAAAAATTTTGAAAAATAAATTTGCTAATTACTAAAATAAAACCAAATTTAAAAAAAGGAATAATAAAATAACAATAAACATTCGAAATTTCAAAACTGTAAATTTCGAATTTAAATTTTCAAAATTATAAATTTCGATGGGTGCAACTAAACAAATATCAAAAAATATATTTTTGTTTGCTTATTCAAATCTTTTTTCTCTTCCTCTATTGCATAATTCGTATCACGTACATATCATATTCACACACGTACTTCGCATCATGTACTTATCATATGCACACACGTACTTCGTGTCACGTACATATCATATTCACACACATCACGTACTTATCATATTCACACACGTACTTCGTATCACGTACATATCATATTCACACACGTACTTCGCATCACGTACTTATCATATGCACACACGTACTTCGCATCATGTACTTATGCACACACGTACTTCGTACCACGTACATATCATATTCACACACATCACGTACTTATCATATGCACACACGTACTTCGTATCGCGTTCTTATCATATTCACACACGTACTTCGTATCACGTACATATCATATTCACACACGTACTTCGCATCACGTACTTATCATATGCACACACGTACTTCGCATCACGTACTTATGCACACACGTACTTCGTACCACGTACTTATCATATTCACACACGTACGCACATACGCATGTATGTGTATCTTTAAATTACAATTATATATGTTAAAATAAATTTTTGATGAAATGTCACAAACCATTTCTGTCTCTGACAAATATGACAAATTAAGACGTTTTGATTGAATTGTATTCAATAATGCAATACCGAAATCGATTAATGGGAAATATTTCCAATCACCTATGGCAATTTTTAATTTTTATTCAAATTTCATTTTGAAACAACAAATACCTTCCAACTAATTAACCTTCAACTAATTAACCCATGATCAAAACTAGTTAACCCATGATTATCAAAAGAGCACACTTCCTGACGAAATTTGAAATTCCTTATTTAATTTAATTACTTTTACCTAATTATAGTTAATTAATTTAATCATTTATTTAAACTAAAAAGAGAATTCAAAATTTCACGTATACTTTTACCTAATTATAGTTAATTAATTTAATTATTTATCTAAACTAAAAAAAGAATTCAAATTCACATATACTTTTATCTAATTATAGTTAATTAATTTAATCATTTATTTAAACTAAAAAGAGAATTCAAAATTTCACATAAAACAATTCTTCTTTAAATTAATCAATTCTTCTTTGTAAAATAAAAGAAAAGTAAATTTTCTTCTTCTCATTCTTCCTTTTATTTAAAAAATAAATTTTAAGGAAATAGAAATAACATTGACCAATTTTAGGACGATCAGATGGAATAGCCATAATGTCTTTTTTTAAATTATTAATTAAAATAAATTGATTTCGAGACAACCGATCGCAATATCACAACAAATAACACTGTCTGTAATGATTGAGAGAATGTTATTATTATTATTAAATTGCATTTAAAAATATGTGAATTCTTCTTTTCAAAAAATTTTCAATTATTTTTTTGCTATTTGAAATTATGTAAGATAATTGATTGATATGTAAGTAATTCCTTGCTTTTATTAACAAACATAATTTTTGTTTTGGAATATAAATAATTCTCTGTAATGCTTCTACCATCTATCATTTTATTAATTACCAAATTTAAAAATATTAAATAAGATTGTTTCACGTATCTCATTTCATAGTTAAATTATTATTTAATCGCAATTCATTTTGCATTCTCTATGAAAACAGCCCGATACTTTGTGTTGATGAATGAATGCATTTATGATATAACGATAGGTACTTTACCTGTATATTTAACTATTTATATTTACCTTCAAATTTATTATTTCTTAGTAAATACATTTAATTAACTGAGAAATAATAAATTGCTACGTAAATATAAATCTTTTTACTTTATCAAGTTTTCAGTAAAGCATATCTAACACTTGAAATTTTGAAGTATTTAACTACAATGATCAAAATGATTGAAGAATTTAAAATAATCGATGAAATTTGTAATTAATTAGATGTTTACAGTAACTATGAACATAGTTCACTATCACAAACATCTGGTTCACACATGCGTTGCGCCATACCATTTCATAATGCATTACCAACAATTCGTAAAATCAACAGGTTTTATTATTAAAATTGAATTCAAACAAACAAGACGAATACGATCAAGTAAACAATTATTTTCATCGGCTTTTAATATCCATTTTTCGATTTTTTATATCTATTATTATCAATTATTATCATTATTAATTTATCTTTATTAATTTATTATCATTTATTAATTTATTATCAATTGTTGTTATCGCTATTATTTATTATTATTACTACTATTAATTACAATTAATTTTTATTATTAATAAATAGTAATAATAATGACAACAATAATGTAACGTTTTAAGTGTTTAGTTACAATGGTTAAAATTCAGTTTGCAAAAAATAAATCCCAAAAATCCAGTAGGTAATCGTTTATTGCATGCTGAAACCCCACAAGTCTTTCTGAAATGATTAAAATAAACCACACTATATTTAGTAAATTCTTTCTGTGCAGATTATTCATTTTCAAAATCAAAATTTCATATTGCACAACAGTTCAAATTTAAAGAATATACTGAGATTATTTCTCGAACTGCGGATTCATGAAATCGCAATTATAAAATTTTATTAAAAACATGAACATCAAAAAATATACATGGAACTATCTAAAATAAGACAGGAATTTTAACAATTTCACGAAAACAAATAAGCCTTCCCATGTCCAAAATTAACGCTTTACGAACTCACGCGTCACAAATCTCAAACACAAATAGAAAAGCAATGTTATAAAATGTCATACATTACATTTTATCGAGTACGAATTAATTTAACAATCTTATAGATAATGTCGGTTAATGCTGTGAAACCCTTATCGGTACATCTTATTCTTGTTTAGTAAACCATGAAATGCTTGAGTTCTTATCAAAACTATTATACATTCATTCATGCTTTACGGGAATTTCTGTATCGACGGCAATGGCTTCTTGTGGCGCATTATATGGTGCTTTGATTTGCAAAATCCCATCCGATGTAAAATGGCATGTCATATCTAAAAATGCAAAGATTTTCCTGTTCTTCCTTGCCTAAGTCCTTCATTACCATTTTTTAACTTTAACAAACAATTTGCAAGTTTTCAGCAATTCACAACTCATTTTTGAATGTTTCGAATGAAAATTTGCGCCTACCTTTACTAACCACTCCTTGTGGCAGAGTAACTTTACGCAAATATTCAAAATTTGTCTCGTCATCTTTGTGTTTCGCTTGAACTGTCAGTGTATTTTCTTTCGCATTAGTCTTGACAATAACCTGGAGATATTCATCATCAAATTAAGAGAGGACTTTGAAAAAACCTCAAACTTAAACAGATTAACATATTATCACATCAATAGTACTCTCATAAAATTATTTCCAGACAATATCATATGTCAACAATAAAACCAGTTATAGGTAAATTTTAATGATATATAAATATCTGATGCAAACCTCTTCCGGTTTAAATCTACGAACGTCCAGTTCCAACAAGAATTTTTTCACGCCATCTTCTTCCACGATTGGATTTAGAACGCGATATGCTTCTATTTGCGAAGGATGTTCGCGAACTCCTATAGGTCGAAAATTATTAAACCATTCGCGTGAATTCCCTTAAAATGAGATTAAATTTATTACTTATTGCTCTCATCGGCAAAAAGACGATGAAAAGGTAGCGTAAGAGAAAGGAATCTATGAGGATATGTCAAGCATATCACTGTATTTCTCGTTTCTTTGATTCCGCTCTGTTTGATTAATCATAATTTTATGCTTAAGTCCATAAATCAGAGTTTAATATCCTAGAAAACAGCTCAACTGTCCGATGGGATGCCTTTATTGATGCGAACACTACTGTTTTCACTAATGATCACTGAACTACCGAACTCGATACATAATTATAAAGAGCACAGAAATGAACATAACAAAATAAGAATTGTTAAGCATCTTAAAATATCCTTCTCTTATCAACCTCTAAACGATACTAATAATAACGCAATTGAAAGTAAATGAGGCTGAAACAAAAATTAATTTCTGAGATTTATAGAAAAATCAAAGGAAATCATAAATTTCCAACTACATTTCGAACTTCGAAAACTTCCTAAAAATAGCTATTATCCATACAAAATGAACTACAAACTCACAAAACACTCGATCAAACTGTTGCTCAATTTCCTGCAGCTGCCTGTCAATATTTCTAAACACTGATGACAGCGGATACCTGGACCCCAAAAAATAATTCCTGGTGGAATGAATTCGTGAACCATTAGTTACAGCATTAATCCCCTGACGTATAATCTGTCTATTCAGTAAGCGTAACATGAAGCGCACTGAATCTGCAAAAACGACGACCTAATTAACAAACAGAAAATTTAGTGAGTTAGCCAGTTCCTTTTCACGAAAGCTCAACATAAGGCATGCCAAGACAGAAATTTGGTGCTATTCGGAAAAGCTGTGATTGCCGGAAAACATCTTAGATATTTCGTAATGATGTGGACATTTTGAAAACGAGAAAAATGGCCAAACAACGATCTTTCAGATGGACATTAGCAAATGATGAAATTTCGGGGATAACAGAAATAAAAAACAGAATAACATCATAATATATACATTCGGATAAAAAAATTTTAAATACACAACAATGTCGGAATGTTAACATATGAATCATCAGAACTAAAATTTAGACATTACGCAGTGTTCACTCCCTAGAAACTACAAAAAGAGTGAAAGTAGTTTTATCGTTACACAGAAGCTGATCACACTAGCGAACGTGATATTCCCAGAATGAAGGGATCGCAAAAACCAAACTTTCACATGTAACAACGGCTGTCGAAATAGCTACTGCCTTGCTTTATATACACAGCCCGATAACTGTTCCAGAAGTTTCTCGAACACTATTGCTCATCCTTGAATGACGAAATCGTAGATGTTTATTTCAGTTGATCGTTTGTTTAAGATGTAAATAATAATTGTAGCCGTCAAACTCATTCATTTGGACTATGTAATTTACTTACGTTGACATTGTTCATATCATACATAATGTACCAATCACGTTTTTGTGGATCTCCTACCGCTCTTTTACCATCATAACAGCAGCAATTGACGTTTCTGAAAGTTTAGTTGTAAATAGAAGATTGCCTGATAAATTTCATTCTTAAATTGGGTGGTGATAATTTCAAATAGTTTTGAGATATTGATTAATTAAAAAAGTCGAAAAACGTTTTTCAGAGAATATTTAACGATAAAGAAATAACACCTACTGGAATCAATCAGGAGCGAATGGTTGTTTTCATATATATATATATAATTTTTTTAATTAATTGATCTTTTTATTTTTGATTAATTATAATGCACACCTATGCGAATGAAAATATCAGAGTCAGGAAAAATACTCATTGTTTTTTCGTTATATAATTACGTTGAATTATCATGAAAATCAAAAACAATTTTTGCAGGATATTCGAAGATATTTTGGTGCCAATGTAGGGAAAAGTGCTCTTACGGAACTAAGAGCTAGTCAAGGTAGTCCCAAAAGAACAGATGGACGGTCTCAGATTGCACGCGAGAAGCCAAGTAAGAAGCCATTGACAGCTGATATAATGCTATCCGATGCGTGTAAGTTTAAATGCTATTTTTTCTTATGGCTCACAAAACTGAAATTTAGCCGTAATAATAGAAATTATCCACTTCAATGAATATTGATAAACGTACGGCTTCTTCCATAATATTTTATTGCTTCCAACATCATTTCATTTTTCCAGCAGATCGAGATTTTATGTTTTTCAAATTTTCATCGATTTTGACTAATTACAATATTTCTTGCTGTGCTGAATATGCTACTTGGATCAAAAAGTTTGCGGTTGCCTTCATCATTGATTACATAAATGTTTCTGAATCATGTATCAAAATTTGTTCAAAGATTGGAATTAGTTCCAACTATTTCAATCAAAAATTCAGTCACGTTGTACTGTGTGAAATTTATCTTCATTTGTACTCATTATTCATATTTCTGAAGGTGCATTTCAGACAATTATTCAAGTATTCGTACAAAGATTATTTTCTAACTGCTTATAGCTGATGATGAAAACCCATTGCCGCGTTTTCTACGTAAAGAGTTGCACAAGAAGCGAGCGAAGAAAAGGATCCTATTGTCATCTGGTAATGTTCTCGTTCTTTACTTCCTTCGTATCCAAAAACTCCTTTTTAAGATGTAGTTGAATGGTCATATAAAGAACTTTCCAAAAGCATAATCGATTCAGTCATATTTTCTCTTCATAAAAATTTTTTTAACTGAATATGAATAAGATGGTAGAAATATAATTGTTTTTATGTGACATACTTCCTTCTTTGAAGATGATGATGATGATCTGCCACCCTCAGTTTCGCAAGTACGGCCACCTAAAAGAGGAGAAAAAATTACTTTGAAAGAAGTGGAGAGCAAATCAACGGAAAGTTTGTTGAAGCGGACATCACATACTGCTAGCGATGTAAGTTATTAAATTATGTTGACAAAATTTTTTTTGCGAAATTCTGCCATTATTCCTTCTACATACTGAAATTCAGGAGGAACTTGATAAAAGGGAAGACATGGATGGTTTCGTTCCTGCACCGCCAACAAAAAAGAAACGTAGGAGAACTCCATCGAATCAAGAGAAGCTGGATTTTAGTCGCCTTGATGCTATTAGAAAGAAGGATTCGCAAAAAAGTTTGTTGGGATTATTCTATTTCTTGGCGTAATTTATGCCAGATAGTTCTCAAAAGCGAGTTTTTGAAATGATTTGCTCTGAATTAACTAGAAATTTTTAGAGACAAAGACAAATCTTGCTCCTGAATTAGAGGCGATTAATCCGGCCGAATTTTTCCGCAATTTCGGCAGAATTTCCACAGAAAGGAAAAAGGGCACAGAACAAAGTGGCAGTGCAATCAGGAAAACAAACTCGTCTGAAAAAAATGTCCAAGTTACAATTTCACCACAAACCTCGCCAAGGAAATCGAAGCGCGAAACAGCTTCAGAAAACAAAAAGGGAAGAAAAACGGTCGGCTTAAATGATGAGAATTGTAAATCATCTCAACCATCAACACGATCAAGTAAAACGAAAAAATCACCAGAATCAGCTTCTGTTAAGTCGACAACAGTAAAGAAGGGTATCGCCATCTTGAAAAAGGAAGGCCAGATGGAAGTAACGAAAAAACGGAAGGAGAATCATGAGATAGGGAGAAAGGTCGATATAAATGATGGCACCGATAAAACAATGACAACCGACATTATCAGAGAAAAAGAAGTACCGAGAAGCGGAAAAAATACCAGGAAGCCGGAGCAAAAATCGTCGAAAGTAACGAAAGCCTTAGACAGAGAAACATCGATGCTTGATGAGTTAGCGAAGACTAAAAGTTCTGCTCGAGAAGTGAGTTTGTTTTTTAAATTTTGAAGTCTTCTCATATGTTATCAAAAAATTTGTGCTAACAAAAATCTTTGATTACGCAAATCCAAAAATAGGATTTGTATCAGATTCAAGCATTAACCAATTTTAGGAAGCGTACTTGCCATGGGTTGACAAATACAAACCGAGCAATATAAAACACTTAATTGGACAAAACGGAGAAAAATCGCCTATGAATAAATTGCTGGGTTGGCTCCGAAATTGGGCAAAGAATCACTTGGGTGTGAGCGGTAAGCAGAAAAAGGGTAAGCGGAATTCCTCTTTAAGGCGATGAAACATAAAATGTAAATAAACAATGTCTATTAATAAGGTAAACTTGAGATTTCATAGTTTTTCTGTGGCCTTCCATCTTTCAGTTCTACATTGATGGTTAGCAAATTCCCATAGTATAGTTTTTTTGAAATTACTCGAGTTTAGAATTGTGTTTTTATATTACGAGGTTTTTTTATATTATGAGGTTAACATTATGAAAATTTCACACTTAGTATTATCGCATATACTAATATCTAACGAAATATAGCACGACCTCCTCCTTGGTTAGCGCAGAGTGATGGCACAGCTTTCAAAGCGGTGATGCTTAGCGGTCCACCTGGTCAGTTTTAATATTTTTTATCGTTTTTCACAAAAATTTTAACTAAAATTTTATTTTATTTTAACTTATTATGCTTGAAGACAGTTTCAAATTTACTTTGTTAAAAGATATTATGATTTTATCCTTAATTTGAACCTTTAATTTTACAGTTTTTTCAAGGTGTTGGTAAAACGACATGCGCTATATTGGCTTGTAAAGAACTTAAGTTGCGATACGTGGAGAAAAATGCGTCAGATGTGAGGAATAAAAAAGTATTGGAGGCACAAACATCGGAAGTAATCGGCTGTGAACAAATAGACCATTATGTAAAGGGATCAATCACACGTGAAAGTAAATTTTATTAGATCGTAAAATATTCTAGAGAAAAATGTTTTAGTGAAGTTAAAACTCAAGACGTAGAATTTGGAATAGTTGAAATGGTGAAAAGATGGTAATCAAACTCTTTCTCATTGCAGTGAATACGTCTAGCGAGATAACACATGTGCTGATTATGGATGAAGTGGATGGTATGAGTGGAAATGATGACCGAGCAGGGGTAGGCTTTTGAAATTACAAAGCTATCAGTTCATTATTCGTTTATGATACAGGTCGATTGATTAATACTCCAATCGAAAACTTTATATTGATGCACTAGAATCTAGATTGTTTCAAGTATTCCTTAAATCACAGCAGTCAGTGAGCACAAAGTTTAGTTTCCAGATATCACTTGAAGTCTGCCATAATTTCTCTGGAGTCTCAGTATTTTGTTGCAGATTGGTGAATTAATACAAATGATCAAGGAAACATTAATACCAATAATTTGTATATGTAATGATCGGCAATCGCAAAAGATGCGTTCATTAGTGAATTATTGTTTTGACGTGCGCTTCCAGCGACCACGTGCTGAACAAATCAGGGTTAGGCTCTTTTTTGAGCAAAAGTTTTTGCTTTTTCTTTTGTGATTGTTTTTATTTTTAACTGATTTTATAGTTTTTACCAATCCTATTTATATTTCTAAAAATCTCAGTAATTTGCAAGGCTTAGAATTTACTGCAGACTTAATGGTTGCCTCAAGCGACGTTCAGGACAAAGGAATTGGGGTAGAGAAAAAGCTGAATTTTAGGCCTCCTCCTGTTCAAATAACACCATGTAATTGACGAATTCAGTATTTTTCTTACCGATAATGAATATGACTTAAAAATTGTTTTTCAGGCAAGATTGCTTACCATCGCATGCCAAGAACGTTTGAAAGTTGACAAGGAAACGATTGATGAAATAATCGAAGCTTCGCAGCATGATGTTCGTCAATCAATTTATAATTTACATCTATTATGCTTAGGTAAAAATGGAGTGGAAATGCAGAGCAAAGATGCTGCTATTGTAAGTTTCCATTCAGTAATTGCATAATTTTCGAAGCATCATTCTTTAAATAAATATTTAAAATCTTTTTTTATCTCAAAATCATTTGGTATTATCAGAAAAAAGTTTGATTATAGAAATGGTTTTGATTTAGATCTGTTTTTTAACTGCTTTTCAGAAATCATTGCTGTTTTATTGTGTGAGATGAATGCTTACACTGAAATGTTTGAATAATTGCAAATTTTTGTTCATGTTTTGACATTTTCATTTCAAACCTTTTTTGAACTTTTATTTTTAGAAATGGGTATATTTAAAACATTAGGTTAATTACAATTTGAATATTAGGATATTTGAATCAGATTATATGAGCCGCATGCCATGAAGAAATAGAAAGACAAAACAAAGTTGAGGATAAAAATGAAGTGCATATGGAATCAGTGCAATTTTTTTTTTGTTTATATAGAATCCTTTCGAAGCAGCTCGTCGTCTTTTAAATGTCGATACAGAAATGTGGGAGAAACAGCGGATGTTTTTCGTTGATCCTTCAATTATGCCACTTTTTGTGCAGGAGAATTATCCATTTGTTCAGAGCTCAAAAATGAGGTAACTTTCAAGAAAAAAAATTATGGTAATCAGTGGATAACTTTCTAGAAATTATTTTAATCTGTACGTCATTTTGCTATCCATTAGAGAATTGTTCAGCTTCTGCGTCATTTATATTAGTGATATAGCAGTATGTCAAATAGTTTTGAAAGTGTCAAGTTACAACTTATGGACTCATAATCCCTATGCTAGAATAAAATAACTGCCCGACTTTATGTAATAAATATCATTTTGACTTTCAAAATAGACTACTGTTCTTTAAAAATTATCAATTGTTGATCCTTTCTCATAACGATATATGAGTTGAATTTTCGAATTTTTATGATTCATTTGATATACGTATGTTTTATAATTTGCAGTACTAGTGAACGATTATGTGCATTGAGAAAGGCTGCGAACAGTATCTCAGAGGGTGATATAATCGATCGAATTATTCGAACAACAGGTGCATGGACTCTGCTTAATGAACAAGTTAGTTGTTGTTTCCTTTATTTGAAATCAATGGTGGACATAATTCTGTTTACTTTAAAAGTGTATCCGCCAAAAATGTTTCTTTGTTTCCTTGCAAACCAAAAAGAAAGAAAGTAGCAAATATAATATCTTTTTCAAACGCATATTCAGCTTATTTATAGGCATTGTTTTCATCTGTGGCACCAACTTCCTATATGAATGGTCATATGAAGGGAGTGATTAATTTCCCTTCGTGGTTGGGGAAGAATTCGACGTTCATCAGGCGTCAGCGATTATTACGCCAGCTAGCAACTCACACTTATCTAAGGTTGATATTTTTCTATTGGTGAACATATAAGTGAAATATCTAAAAAAATGAAGCTCACATAGGTGGTACTTAACATTTCTGAACAGTAACTGATGGAAACTTTGTAACCTTCTGTATTATTTAACATATAGATTCATTCAGTCATTCAGTGAAAATACGTAATGAAATGAATTATTAATGTATTGTGATTTGCATATCAACCAAACGGTAGTCAGATACCGGTAATGATGAACTATTTGTTTAAATTTGTATAAATCTGGAGCACTCAAAAACGGACTATGCAAAAATACTTTAACTTCATGAAGATTGTGAGAATATTTCAAGCCTGTTGTATGTCTTCCTGTATTTGCATCTGCTCCAGTTTTCGTCATTATATAGTGAGAATTTAGAACATTTGCTGCCGTATTCCCTATGGTACTTGATTATGTTCCTGTTCTACGACACAATTACTGCCGTCCATTGTTGGATAAAGAGAATGACGGTGTGAAGTTAGTGGTTTCTAAACATTTAAACTACTCGTTATTTTTTTTGCTGCACTTCCTCCGATCAGGAATACGGATCTTATCGCATGTTGATTTTTCTGATCAGGACTTAATCTGAAAAACTTAGCATTATTATTTGGAATAATTGATTAATCTATTCCTCACTCGAGAATTTTAGTGATGTTATGAATCTGTACAAGGAGTACAATTTAGTCAGAGATGATATCGAGTCAGTTGCTGAATTGGCTGTTTGGCCGGGTTTGACGGATCCAGGTGCTGCCATTCCGATAAGGGTATTTCTTATTTTCTTGCGAACTTTTTTATGCAGTCAGTTATTATCTTCCTCACGGATCATTTCATCTTTTACTTCCTTTTTTCAGGTCAAAGCAGCTCTAACACGAACCTTAAATAAGGAACATATTATTTTACCATATGCAATGGATAATTTAATAAAGGGACGAAAGAAATTAGGAGGAGGTGAGTTTCTGTGATTTGAGAATCACTGAATCCTTATAGTTGTGAATTTATAATGCAACATAGCCAGTGGCTATTCGGCTTGTCTTTTAAATGTTATCAGTCATGCAAACATTGGAGGAATGAATGTCCTGGCTGTAAAAGTAGGGAATGTTCAAGCTCCATAGAAAACATCGCGATCGAAAGTTTTTACTAATAAAAATTAAATTTAAGGCTTAGATTTGAATCTCGAAGTAGATGAGGAAGGTAATTTAATCGAGCAAATTGGTGATGAAAATGATTTGGAAGACTCTGGTGGAGAAAGCAATAATGATGATACTTTTGCTGGAGTCATACTGAAAAAAGGCAATTCTGCCAATGAAAATAAAAGTAAGCAAAGTTGTTTTTCGATTTTTGTAAAAGACGATAGTCATTTTTCCCGATTTCCTTGGAAATTTGGGCTTTTTTCTTCAAATATAAGGCAGCCAATTCTATAGAAAAAACTGTTGTGTTAGTATTAATATTAATAATTCTCAGAAACACGTGGTGGGAAAGTTGAACATGTTGATGGCCGTGGAGCACGTGCTGTCCGCCGAGCTACTGGGAGAGGTCGAGGTAATAAGAAGTGACATGGAATGTTGATTCGAAAATCCTGCAGCAACTATCTTTCTCTGCAGGAATGAAAGAATTTTTATAACAAGTTATAATCTCGAGAAGATTGAAACATCTCAATGTCATCTTAATCATTCCCTAACAATTCATATTTCATACGGGAGACTTTTCAAGCTGATAAGCTTTCTAATCACTTTCCTCTTCCTTTTTCTTCGTATTATTTTTTGCACATAACCTATGACCATAAAAAACAAACTCTCATATCGAATGCCATCTTTCAAAAAATATCAACTTGTATCATTTATTCATTGTAGAAAATTGAATAGAAATGTTTTATATTTGGAATGATTTGTCGTGTGTTTTTAGAATTACCCCTTTTCATCTGCCTTTTTTCTAAATCGTTATTCAATTTAGCGTTTATTAACATCTGAATATTTGTGTAATTTACGGTATTATGTATGGGTTGCTACATTTAGCTACTCTATTTAATTACGGATTCTTATCGTTATCTGTTCGTGTAAGCTTACATATATTACAAATTTAATATCATGGTCTTCACGTGTACTCTATTCAAAATGATCTTAGTTCATCATTTTAATTTGTGGATCTAATTTTTTAATCTTATAAAACTTTGCTGAAATAAACTTGACTTTTAATTGCTGTGGTCGTGTATTAGAGATTCGCTAATTAACGAAACATTATTTACTTGAAATATCGAATTTGTTTTTTCCTTTTTTAATTTCAATTTCAGTTTTTAAAATACCACTTACAATTGATTCTTTCAGAGCTGTGCAAGATGGCGTAGATTAACCAGAAAACATTAAGAATAAAAATTAACTATTTTTCATTTCTATCTCAGCATTTTTACAGCTTGAAAGTAGTAAATTAGAGTATAACAAAAGCTTTGAAACTTCATGCTATTGCTACTGCTATTATTACTTTTTAGGGAGTACTACCAATTATAATTGTAGTATTGATAATTAGCTGTCATTATCTCTCTGTTAGACAAGTTCGATGCATGATGTGAGTCTGTTCTACGGAATTTCAATTGTATCAAGATGATAATGGCTATATGGTATCTATTAAAAAATAGATCGGACTGCCAGTAAATTCGATAAATTACATCAGATGAATTTAAAGAAGCAGTTTTGATTTTGGAATCCAGCATGTAGTAGTGTTTTGTGTCATTAACGGATATTTAATAAGCGGAGATCATAGTGCAGCTTTTGATATCAATGACGGAAGTGGACTTGATTTGTCAGGCGTAATTTGTCATCCTGCCTTATAGGCGGTTTTGCTTTTTTTTCAGCCATAGTGTATTATTTCGATCATACCAACTTTGCATCCTATTTTGAGCTATTTTATATGATTTTAAAATGTTGGAACAGGTATGATATTTTTAAAAGAAGCTAATTTCGAAATTTGCTAATAACTTATTAATTTTAGTCCAGCTATATATAATCTCATTCTCCAATTTGTGTACTACTTTTTAGTTTATTTGAAACACTTGTATTATTTGTTTGCAGCAATCGCGGTGTCGTGTTCGGTTCCAAATGAAACATTTTATCAAGTATTGAGGTTTCTTTGGAGAGAAGGGGATTAGTGTGATTATGACAGATGTTTGAAATCTTTTTCTAAGTTTTGAAGCGCAAAATCTAGAAAATAAGTGTAAATTTCCGCGAAAGAAAGCCTATTTTAATTGTATAAGTTTAATCTAAATTGGATTTTCATTGCAACGAAATGACTCAACGACTAACTTATATCGATTTTGTTTTAAAATCCCTGTTAAATGTTTTCCTGTTCGAAGATTTTGTTTTCCTTTTTGCAGTATAATTTCTGTTATGATTTCTGTTTTTCAACAGATTATTCTTTTTTGTTTTTCAGCAGATTGTTTTTCATAATTTGCCCATTTCATTTAGATTATTCGAAAAATTTTTTTAATGTATTATTTGATAATCTGTTATCAATAATATAACGTGATATATATTTATATAGCGAGGGACCGATTATGGTGCATTGATAATCAAAGGCTCAGCTGGGATTGTGATAACAGTTTCATTGGCTTTGATTTTTCTTGTTATTGGTAATATGGTTTATCAAACATTCACTCGTAAAGTTGTTTTATGTGAAAAGGTGAATCGTTTCTAAATATTCAATTCAATAGTTTTATTCCTTTTCTGAAAACTTTCGTGTTTAATAAGATAGTGGACACTTCATGGACAAATCTAGAGTTCTTTGCAGTGTTTACTGTTACTTTTGAGAATTTTTTGTAGCTAAACAGAAGTAGCAAATAGATCTTCTAAATGCTGTATGGAATTTCTATCATATTTCTGTTTGTTCTTTGACTGCGCAATGTTAGATTGAATTATATCAAGTATTTGAACCTTTCCCGATGAAGTCATTTTAAAATTATTGTCATAGTTTGTAAAATATTTTGTAATCTTGTTACACTTGGAATTAGTGAAGAAGTTGATGTCAATAGCAAGAGATAGGAATCATTTATATCACTTTATCACTTTACTTGCCATTGTTCCCTTGGGATTTTTAAAATATGAATAACTTTTAGTCTTTGGTATTTAAAAATTTTTGTAGAACTAAAGTCTTTTTCATTGTTTCTTGCTAATTTTTGTCTTCTTTTGCAGAGAAGATATTGAATTTTTGGATATTCATATGCAGCAACATCAAAAGCAGTAATTTTGAAAGGTATATATTTTTTATGTTCGTATGGTTATTTGATATTAACTTAGAATGAAATCTAATATGTGTTAAAATTGTATCTGTCCCTCAAGCTGCAAAATGCAGAACTGTTATGGGGAGAAATTTAAATTTTGGTGCATTGCATGATTACTGAGTATTTCCCAGTAATGTTAAATTGGGTACCAAAATTGGATCGAGCATTCATTGAAGTTTTTTCAATATTTTCAAAATTTAATTTTTTTTTAAATTCTGGCCTTTTCATTTACATATAGCAATAGTCTTTTCACTTTGCGCCTACTAATTTCACTTGATTGTTATATAAGCTTAAATATTGTAAAGGTTTATTTTGCTAAATTTTTGGAATCTATTTGTTAGTTCGTTCCAGTGTCACTAGTGTCCAATTATGCAGTGCAACACATCATGTTGATTATGGCGATACGTTGAAGAAAACTATCAATTAATTTTTTAAAAGAGACCTGGTGTTTGTTTTGTCGAGAAATGAAAAATTGTTATGCTGTTTGCATTGCAGTTTCAGTTTGTATTATTTTACTAACATTATCATGCATTACAGCATTTATTAACCGTTTTCTGTTCAACGTATTGATCGCTTTATAACGATGATGAAGTCTTCCATGCAAGCATATTCGAAAAGTAGCGTTATTGTAAGGTAAGTAGAATACAGTTTCTTTGGCAGAGCATATTTGACATTCGAGCATCTGTGCAAGCGTATTCAAGAAGATTATGTATAGAATACAGTTTGTTTGATAGAACACACAATAAGAAAATCTTAAAATAAAAAAAGTAACTGAAGAATGGTTGATTAATTGTTTGCAATAATTTAATTAAGATATTAACGTTTATTCTGTCTGCCAGTTGGTTCAATCGGATAGTTTTTTGTCCTTATTGTTATTTTTCAGTTAGTTGCTTGGTTCATTTTGATTAAAGTATTTGTGATTGCTGAAGTATGTATAAGAATTGTTTGACTCATTACTAGAGGCCCTACAAATCACATTCTGTTATTTGAGAAGGAATGTATACTGCTTAATGATCCCTGAAAATTTTAGGAGGAACTAAAGTATCCATGGAAATAATGCTCATGTTGTAGGGCCTCTACTAATGAACTGCTAAGAAGTAAACAGTAAATTAAACCAAATAATTAATACCGTGAAGTATTAATTGTTTGGTTTAATCTACTGTTTATTTCTATGATAGTGAATAAGAAAACTTATTTGTTAATCAAAAAATGCAAATTCGATTTTGTTGATTATGTTAGTAAATTTTTTCTTCGTTTTCTTTTTCAGGCGCATTCATATGGCGTTATTATCATGTTTTCCAGTAAATATTACAGATGATGAAAAATTGGATGTGGATGAAGGAACAGGAATGAATGTAGAAATGAGAGAAGTTATTGTTCCTTCTGAAGTGAATCCTCAACAATCTACACAAGGTATATTGTTGGAAGAGAGTCATTTTAGCCATTAAATTGTTTACTTGGTTGAGAAATTTTGCTATACAGATTGTTATTTTACACGACTTATTATTCCACACGATTGTTTCCAAAAGGTAACTGAATTGATGCGGCATCATTTTGAAATGTATTAGTCATGCGTCTATTTTACACTTTTGATACCATTTATCAGTTAATAATGGTTTAGATATATTCTGCATTTTATTCATTGAAGCGTTCATAAAACTTTGTGAACAGTTTTCAAGTTACAATTATCGCCTGAACTTGATTTATCATATATGGAACTTATTACATTAACCGACAATTCTTAAAATTACGGTTATCAAGGTTTTGTTTTTTTTCAGCTGCCAGAAATTGTCGGTTGAGGTTTCTGCTTGCTGCTGATATTGGTGCTGAGCAACCAGAGCCAGCTACACGAACACTGCTGCAAGGTATGATCTTAATTTTTTTAGATTGGGAACTTTGCGCTTTATATTTGAATATATTTGAAATCATAAGAACTACGACTTTTGTAGGTCTAGTGCCGAAGGATGAGCCTTACATAGTGCATACATCAGTTCACTATAGAAATTGTCTCGTACCAAGACTCGATTTAATCATTGATTCGCCGTATTACTGGGGTATTATGGATCGTTATGAGGCGGAAGCATTATTGGACAATAAGCCAGAAGGTAAATTTTTATGAATCATCGTGAATTGTTAATTATAAGGTTGATAGTAATTCCGATGTGAACAAGCAATTATTATAAATTTTTTGAGAAATTCTTATTTCTAAATAATCTGTGATTTCAATGTTGTAATTTGCTTAGAACTGTGATTTGACAATCAGAAGATTTGTAAATAGTTTTCCTAACTATTAACAAGCAATCTTTAAATAATATTATTTATCTATTCAATTAAATTATATGAGGTACCAATCCAATGAATGCTTTTCTAAGCATTTCAGGTACATTTTTGTTACGTGATAGTGCGCAGTCTGAGTATTTATTCTCAGTATCGTTTCGTCGATATAAGCGTACGCTGCATGCACGTATTGAGCAAAAAAGTCATCGCTTCAGTTTTGATTTTTCCGATCCATCAATTTATTCTGCAAACACGATAACTACACTTATAGCTTATTATAAAGATCCAGTCAAGTAAGTTTTTAGAAATACTGCACAAAAAAGTTCTTTGCGATGAAACTAAAACTATAAATTTTTGGTAATGAATGAGATATTTCTACTAGATTCTGTTTTCTCACTAGCTTTTTTAAGTTGCCGTTGCTGCTATTTACAGTAAAGTAGAATTTAACGTTGTTTTTCTCTTTAAATATTGATTTTCAGATGTTTATTTTTTGAGCCACAATTATCAGTGCCGTTGCCAAGAAATTTTGTTTTCCCACTGCAGGTCAATGTGTATTTTTTTGGCATCTTCGAAGAAAATTAAATGAAATTATTCGACAATTAGCATTACGCATTTCATAATATTATCAACTCATTACCAATATATTGCACTTAATTATTAAAAAATTCTGAGCAATTTCGATGTAATAAAAGGCTTGCCGCACTTTCCATTATATTTTCAATTATTCTGGTCTTTGTAAAAACTTCAAACTACAAGATATTTGTTTCAGCATCTTTGTCGTGCTTGCATAGCAAGTTTGACGACTTACGACGATGTCGAAAAATTGAATTTGCCGATTTTACTGAAAAGTTTTATTAAAGAATACCATTATAAACATCCCGTGAAAACGGTGAATTACACACCGGATACGGATCTCTTACATGCTTATGCGTTGTCATCGATTGAAACTACGTCGGCTGGAGCAAGTAATGCGCCCTCTCGAAGTAGCACATAAGTTAATTATTTTTATGGTGATTCTTGTTTGTAAAATTTTGTATAAGTACTAACCTTTCAGTTAAAGTTCTGAAAATGACTTGGAGAATTATTTTCTTCAAATATGTTTTTAAATAAAATCCAGAAGATTTTTGATATATTATGGAAATTTATTTCATTATTTCACTTCAAGATTATGCTTGCGATTCTGCTTTAAGTGTAACTCAAAATCTAATAGATATTTCAGTTATATAATATTTATAGTTTTAGCATATATAATTTTAGTATGGTTTTGGATTTATTTATTTTCTTTATTTTTACGGTTGAAGATAGAAATTTTTTCCTCTTCACTCATTACAAGTAGTGCAGAAGCAGAATTAACTTCTTATATTTAAATATGCTTGATGATTTTGTGTGAAGATAATGTATTTTGTTTCTTGTACAAAAGATTGCCTGGTGATTCTTCTGTAATAAATAAACGGAGTAATGCTATAGTCCACTAATTCATTTCCGAATGTGTAATGATTTATTCAATCATTCATTTCCGATGTGTATAAAATAAACATTAGTTGTGCGAGATCATAAATCGTTTCCATAAACATCATATTCGGTGCCGGATTTTACATTCTTCTATTTATCTAAAAGATGTCGAAGATCAACAATCTCCTGAAAAACAAGCATGAGGCATGGGAGGTTTTCGTCTCATTCTCCCCATTAATAGTAAATAGGATGACAGTTTCCTGAAAGTGAGATCACTTGAGTGCAAGAAGGATTCATGTAATCATATTAAGCATTTTTATGAATCGAATTGGTTGGTTAAGGAGTTGCAACTCAAATAACTGGTTGGCATCCTGATCAACTTAGGTTTGCGAAACATTGAAATGGCTTCTTGCAAAAGAAAGTCTGCCTTTTGAAATAAAAGATTGCGCAAATCAAATTGAAACATTTCGACTTGACAATCATCGTGCTTATTATGCAGGCTGGTCGATTTTTTTCCACTGTTCAGGAATATTATTAGCAAGAAATGTCATACGAGTAAGGAATATATATATATATATATATATATAAGGAGCGGATCGATTATATTGCATTAACGATTGCATCATTATTGATGGAATGTTAACGTTTTATATCGTATCCCATATTGTTTTATACCATATTTATTTTTGAAGTGGTATAATGTATTGATCACTTCTCAATAGTCTACTTTAATATTGATGAATTTGGATGTGAGGATGAGTAAAAAAAGAAAGACATAGAGCTAAATTATCCTGCCCATCATAGCAAGAAATATACGGCATGCATATTATTCAAAGTGTTGAAATTTTCAACGCTCAAAAAAACAACTGATGAAAGAGAAAGATGAGAGAGATAATGGAATGAGAGATGTGCCTGTAATATCTGGAGGTCATGTTTCTCTTTCTATCTGTCTATCTGCTTGGCCGATTAAAAACATTCAAATGATTCTCTTCATTCAATTGATTTTGTGAGGTGAAGGATACATATCGACATGCTAACCTTGTTGTCCCAGCGAAATAAAAGCATTAAAAACGACAGGTAAGAAGAAACTGTGACCAACAACAAAAAACAATCGATGGATTTGGACGACTCCGCTTTTGAATGATTTCGCTTCAAGCTGACCTCGTTGGTCAGGGATGGATATATGTCGTAACGGCGTAGTTATATCAATAGCATTTAAAACAACAAGAAAGAATAAAAGTGACCAGTGAGAAGAAATCAGAAATATGAGTTATAAGTAGTTTTTGAGGTCAATCGGTTTGGTGATGTGGGATCTGTTTGTTGCATGTTTGTTATTTTGTTGAATAATATTTTAAAATTTGCTTTGCTTCTCTAAAAACTTTCAATGCATATTAATGTTCAAATAATTACTTATTCGAGAATAACTGTCAATAGATCAATTATACATCACTTTAGAGATGAAAGAAGCATTGTATCTTCGATATGAGCGTCTGATAAGTGTATTAACATGAAATAAACTTTTACATTTTATTTTGCCAGAAAAGATTTAGTATCACTTGTAGTAAATTTCAAGGCAACATTTGATTTTCTAATACTTATAGGTTTCCTATTTCTCCATCATTTTGTACCAAACGCCAAGCAATGCTATATATTTTGCGCTTTTATTGCAAAATCAATTAACACTTTCTTTTTCAATTCTTTTTCATTTTCAAATATCTTAAATTCATTATAATAAAATGATAAGAATATTTTTACTTGATGAATGGTATCAATTATTTTTTTCAACTTATACATAATTTTATCATATTCATAAATAAAGATAATATATTCTACTAATAGAAAAATTCATCTGTAATTAGTTGATTGTCAATTAATGAATTATCATAGTTCAAGCTTCGAATAAATATTTATCTTTTAACTGCACTGATTCCTCGTCGTCACATTATTTGTCCGTATAATGATAAGATCTATGTGATAAGATAACATAATCGAGTGTAACATTAGTGCAACAAGTGCTGTGGAATCAATTATCAACTGAATTATGGTTACGAAAACTTTTGCTATCAATTGAAATTTGTTCAAAAGTGATTGATAGGAAATTTGAAATAAATTTGTGATAATGTTAATTCCATCGTAAAAAGTGGCATTGCAAAGGTTTATAGCAAGGTGAAAGTATTACTAATAAATTGGGGTGCAGTATTACTAATATACAAGAATTAAAAATTTTGCGAGCGCAAAGGGAAAATGACCAATAGGTGAGTGACCGCGCCGTTATAAATTGTACGACAGGCACTTCATACAGTACCCATCCGGTAGGATTCAGTGAAATAATCGCAACGCTTAATTCCCGGTTTCTCTTGGGAAAAAATTTTATGCTACCTTTGGAATAATACAACTCACAAATTCCCTGATGGTTCAAAATTTGAAAAACTTTTAACCAACATGTCAATATCGCAAACCATTTCTTTCTGTCACTAAAAAGTTTAGCAGAGAATATGTATGTAAGAATAGTATGTATGTAAGACGCGTTACCTGAGGTAAAGCATATAGAGTAATAATTAATAATAGCAATAATAGTGGTTGTTGTATTGGACAGGTAAGAAAGAAGTGTGGATAAAAATTATTTCCAGTAATCATTTCATTGGGGTCTGTGTATATGTGTTATCTGCTGCTGTTTCTGATAGCTTTCGGAATATGCTAGAAATTATTGTATACTATATCGTTTAAGGTGTCACATTTGTGTGGGCGGATATATTTTGTTTAGAAAATTGTAAATTAGTCAAATAGGAAAAGATAATTTGATTTCTGAAAACAGTGAAAAACAGGAATGTGTGGAATCTGAAGTTTGACAATGGCAATCTGAAGAGAAGTAAGGTACAGAAGTGATATACTCTCTGATAGTATCCATATTGTTGCAGCAAATGGAATTAAGAAATTAAATTAAATCCGTGAATTCACTCAATTTCTCTCTCATTCTAAATATTTTACCTTTTCTTAAGATTAATTTCGACTTACAGTGAAATGTATATATTATATATGCGTATGTCATAAATATGATAGCAATTCTTACTCCTTTTCTCATTAAAATTCGTCTTATCGACCAGTAGATTACGGTAATTAGAAATGGATGCGAAGGATAATCGTAAAACGATTATATCAAAAAACAGTGAAGTTTCTACTGCTGCCAGTACTTCTGCTGTTTCTACTGCTGCTAGTACTTTTGCTATTTCTACTGCTGCTAGTACTTCTGCTATTGAGGAGCTCAATAGTTATACTTTTGGATATAACGATTTTAGCTATTGTGATGATCCTAAAGGTGCTACCATCGATGAAAGTTCTATGCCAATTGAATTACGAGGGAAAAAGTGGAAAACTGACAGAGCACTTGGCGAAGGTCGGTCGATCAAATCAAAATATTTATCTTATAAGTATCAAATTTTTTATTCTTCATTTCATTCATTGAAATGGAAAAAAGAGGAAATTATAATTGTGAATAAATTTTCTAAGCATAAATTTATTTGATTAGAATACAATCATATTAGATATAATATGTTAAAAAATTTTTAATACCATTTTAGTATTCTGTAGTATTAAAAAAATATTCGTATTTTAGGTGGTAATTTTAAAGTATATCTTGTAACAAATGGTGATGGAATAAAATATGCAATGCGATGGCATCGTAAACAGGATCGTAGTACGAAATGCTATGAAAAAGATGAAGAACATCAGACTGAAATTATTTTATTTCTGGAGATGCATCTCAAAAGTGTAATTTTGCATGTTTGAAATCATTTTATAAATCGTTTTTCCTTTTTTACTATCAAAAATTATATCGGCTTATGATAACTGTTTAGACTTTACAAATGAATGAACTGATTGGCCATCATCCTAATATTGTAAAGCTAATTGGTTTCCGTAAAGTTAATTTATTCACGCAACAAATTATGGAGTATATCGGTGGCGGCGATCTTCATGACTTCATAGAAGCGAATTATAATCGAAGTTAGAATTAATCATTTCGAAATTCAAATCTTCCAAATTTGCTTATTTGGAATATGTTCGAAATTATTTTCCGATTATTATTTTGTTTCATAATTTTGCTAGGAGCTTAATTAGCTGAACATTCGAATTGATTTATTACTTTTTTTGCAGGAAACCGACAAATGAGGATAAAGAAAGTGCGAACACTTTTCAGGGATCTGTTAAAGGCAGTGAAACATATTCATAATTTATGTATAGCTCATATGGATATAAAGCCTGAGAATTGTCTCGTAACCCTAAATGGTATGGCTTCAATTAATATATATTTTTGATGCTTAATAAGGAAATATTATTCTCAGAGACTATAATGATAATAATCGTTTATTTAGGAAATCTTAAACTGACTGACTTTGATGAAGCGATTTACTTCGAACCCGGAAAAAAAATTCGTGGTCCGGTTTATGCAACCGAAGCATACGCTGCGCCAGAAACGTTTGATAAGGAGTACAAGTACAGCAAATTTGCATGTTTTGCATTTTGAAATAAGAAAATACTAAAAAAGAACTTTTTTTGAAAATTCAAATATTGCAGACCGGATTGTGCAGATATTTGGGCATGCGGTATCGTATTGTTCTTTATGATGAAGCATAATTTACCATGGGAAGTAGCAAAGTGAGTTGTGAAATTTCATCATTTTAGAGCTGACCATATTTCGATCAATTTAAAGTATATCATTCATGTAGTAAACATGGACAATTTTTGTATAATAAATCGTGCTTAAAGGAAAGATGATGACATTTTTCTTCATTGGTATCGAGCGCCATGTAAAGAATGTTTTTTCCGTTTCCAGAAATATGGAAATGTTTCCGGTAAGGTTATAAATGCTTTTTGAAATGATAAAATTACATAAATTTTTCAAAAGAATTCAATAATACTTTACTCACCTTATTGTTATAAAAATTATTGATGGTCAGTTTTCCGATCAATTCATATATTACCAAATTGAAATTATTCTCTCAATGAGCGCAATTAATTAATGCTTATAAAAATTTATTCATTGAATAGAATTTCTGTTGAAAATGCTCGAAGTGAACGCAAATGAAAGAGGAACTGTCAACGAAATTATATCACATAAATGGTTGCAACATCCAGGACAGAAAACAGAAAAGTAAACTTTCTAAAATGATCAAATGATTTGCGATACAATCGTAGTATTGAGAAAACGAAAAGCTTTTTACATTCATATGAGTTGTATATAAATTATGAATATGTTTTACTGCCTTTAACAGATCATCGAACAATGTTCGCACTTTCTTTATTTCCAATTGTTTCTTTAATTAATAGAATGTGTTCTTTCAATTAATAGAATGTATTCTTTCAATTAATAGAATTCAAGATATGGAAAGTTTTCTTACGGAAAACTTAATAGAATGGAAAGTCTTTCTTACGGAAAGTCGGAAAGATGCTGAAAGTCTTTTTATCATCATCATACGGCAAGTCTTACGGTAAGATACGGAAAATCTTTTTACCGAATTTTAGTTGAATTTTCAAAATTCTTTTAATTTTGAAATTCTTTTAATTTTATTAATCTTCGGTTTAATTCTTGCATTATAACAAGATAGAAGTGATTGTAAAAAAAATTAGGATAGAATTTCAAAACTTAATTAGTTTGAATTTCAATTAATCTAAGTGATCAATTTAATCCAAAACAATTTCTCCTTTTTGTCTTCGGGTCAATTTTTTTCCAACTTGCTGGATAGAAGTTATGATAGTGATTTTAAAATAAGATATAAATTGATTTCATCTTTATCATTAATTCAAATGATAATTAACACTGTTATCAATTATGCTATTATTTTGTAATTTCAAAATTTAAAAAATAGAGTAAAATTTTAATGATATCACAGGTGTTATTGATAATTGAATATATGCAAAAAATAAATCTATAAATAGCATTTTTATCGTTGAAATTCTTTTTCCAACCATAAATATTCCGATATCATTGTTCGTAATGTTATTGAGAATTCATCATCATAAAGTTCAGTTTCTGAGATCGATGAAGTTGGTAAAAATTCCAATCCTGTCAGCAATTCAATATCACGTAGCCTAGCCTTATTTGCATTTAAATAGGACGATGCATTCTGCAAATAAAATAAAATTATTTATTTGTAAGAAATCAAGACGAAAACTTTTTTAGGATGAAACTAAAGCAATAAATGAAACAAACCAAAGATACTTTTCGTTTATTTTCATTTGAAATTTTCATAGCTATGAATTTTGCTAACTTTTTGTTAGCATAATTTTGATGAAAAAAAAAATCAATCAATAATAATTTATATTAATAAATGAATTTTGCTAAAAGTAATAAAGAAATTTTTTTTGCTTTTTAATTTACAGTTAATTAACGAGAATTGCGAATAACTTGCCAAATATTTGTAATCAACAGATATGCTAATAACTTATCAAACAATTGTAATCAACAGGTACGTTAATAACTTACTAAACAATTACAACCAAAAGGTATGTTAATAACTTATTAAACAATTGCAATCAATAGGTACGTTAATAACTTACTAAACAATTGTAATCACAGATAAGTTATTAACTTATCAAGTAATTGTAATCAACAGGTACGTTAATAACTTACTAAACAACTGTAATCAACAGGTATACTAATAACCAAACAATTGTAATCAGCAGGTATGCTAATAACTTATCAAATAATTGTAATCAACAGGTATGTTAATAACTTACCAAACAATTGTAATCAACAGGTACATTTGGTAAAATAAATGCCAATGCATCTAATGATTTCGCATTTTCACATCGTAATTCGCTATTCAACCAATTCGAATTTTTACAACGAAATATTACACGAAATATATGACTCGGTGTTGTATTACTAAAAAACAAAATTCACAAATTTATTGAAATATTTTAAAAATTAAGAAAAAAAATAATAATATTAAATGATATGACCAATTAAGGAAACAAACCTAACGATCGCTTGTGAGCAATTAAAGAAATAACCTGACGATTGTTTGAAACTACGATTTATTTGTTGTAAAAAATAAATGTGACAGAATCATTTATGAATGAATGATTTTAAGAAAGTTTGTTGAAATGGATTATTGATAAACAACTCTCCTGTTTTTACTTCAAACATTCTCTTTGATAAAATAATTTATAATAGGCAGATCAGTTTTAATAAAATGAATACATTTTAATAGATTTGAATTAACTTATGTTCAAAATTACGAATCAATGAGTTATTTTATATCTTATCAAAAAGCGATATTATTATTATTTCTTTTGCATAATATAACGAAATTCGTTATTATATTCAAATTATATTCAACTTTAGAAATTAATTCTATTCAACTTTAAATTTGCTATTTTAAATTTTTGATACGTCGAAAAAGTGTGTAATAAATTTATCCAACTCTTATTTTCATTAATTAAAATGAAATTTGATTTTAAAAGAAAAATGTATTAACCGTTGTAAATTCGATTCAAATGTTATTCTGGACGAATCAGTGGAAAATTCATCATCGTCGAAATCATAAATTGGTCCACTTATAATCACTACTTCATTATAAAATTTCGCATAATCAACTGCTATCTTTTCCAACGTTGCAAAATACCCTCAATTAATTAAAGTTTATTTTTTTATAAAATAATTAACGATGTTTTTAGATTGAAGCAAATTTAATTAACTCTTAAACTTAAAAATTTTTAATTATTAGAAAAAGAAAGAAAACAAATTCTGTAATTGCATTATCAAAATTATTTAACTTTTACGAGTGCTACTGACTTTTTCTGCAAAACGTAATCGAAATCGAAAAATTTAACGGATAGCCATACCGGACTATCGAAAAACCGGAAATTAATTTCAACAAATTATTGCATTTAAATCACTTACCACTGACAAAATCACTATAAAGGTTAACATTCAAATCATATGTGCCTGAAAATTAAAATTATTATTGTATTTTTTGCAAGAATGATTAATAATTAATTTGCTCAAAATAATTATGATTTAAGATAATTAAGTAACACTTATTATCTGTCACTTACGTAACAGTCTGTTGCTATTTAGTATTATTATTACACAAGCAAAAACATGATAATAAAAGTAATATTATCTAATCAATGAATGCGGAAAATTGATTTATGATTAAATCTTATCTTCTCCGATATAATAGTTCATCCCAACTTTAGCATAAATTTAAATGACAATCAAAAATATCGTTTTTGATTAGTTATCAATTCTGATTATCAGTTTTACAATTGAAAGAAGTAAATGAAAGAACTGATAACCTTTTATACTTAAACTAGTTGTAATCCATTTTACAGATTCATTTTTCTGTTGTGATCGCAGAGAAGAAAAATTAGAATTAATACGTTCAATTAAAGCAATTGGAAAAATTGAATTTGAACTGAAACAAAAGGATATTCATCTTATTATAATAACGGAAAAGAAAATTCATTAATTATAAAATATAAGATTGGTGATAATTTGTATGGAAAGCAAATACGAAAGTAAATTTATGTAATATTACAGAAGTAAGAAAGTAATATTGGAGAAGTTCCTTTCAACAAATTATGCTAAATTTCGTTTACGAATAAATAAAGCCTTATAATTCAAAAGTAGGCTAAATTTCGTTTACAAGTTAATAAAGCCTTAAAGTTTAAAAGTATTAAAAGTAAGAAAGTAATATTGAAAAAGTCCCTTTCAACAAATTACGCTAAATTTCGTTTACGAATTAATAAAGCCTTATAGTTTAAAAATATTCAAGGTACATAATTTAAAAACAAACCAGCAAAAAAATTTAACTAATAGACATACCGTTGAATTACAGCTGATTGCGAATTATTGAAACAATTAGACAGGTAGCACATTTCATTGCTACCAGAAATCAACGATGATAGACCATATAAACAAGGTTTTTCATTCTAAATAGTTTCATCGAATTTGTTGCTAATAAAAAAAATCAAATAAGTTTTATTTAATTTTTCAAAAATTTAAAAACTTCAATTAATTATTAATTATAATTGTTTAATTAAAAGAAAACAATACTTCAACATTATTATCACTTCGGCATTCTTTCAATGATTTGAATCTTTGCAGTTTATTTATCGTTATATCGTTTAAAACGCTGTTCAATCTTCCTTTGGTACCATTGTTTGATGGTGATTGATTTGAATTGATATTTAATAATGATGAAAAAATTGAAATTATTCATTTAGGAAATAATAATAGCAATACATTCAATATTATATCTAAACTTTGATCGGTTAATTTTTAATAGGAAGATAATTAAACAAGTTATTTGAATAATTTATATAATTATGAAAAGTATTAGTTGAAAAAGGTTAAAGTTCGAAAAAAGTCAAAGTTAATCGTAATAAATAAATAATTCGATTAACATAAATAAATAAATAATTTCACTAAACCTATTATTAGATTGATTAATTCGATATTTGAAAAGATTAAAGTTAATTGTAATAAGTAAATAATTTCGCTAAACCTATCATCAGGTTGAATAATTCGATATTTGAAAAGGTTAAAGTTAATCGTAATAAATAAATAATTCGATTAGCATAAATAATTTCACTAAACCTATCATTAGGTTGAATAATTCGATATTTTGAAATGGTTTCAAAACTAGGCCTCGTGCAATATTAGGACCATATGCATAAAAGATTGCATGCATTGGTTCTTCTAGGAAATCATAACCATGATCATGAGTTTTATGATAATCTGCGGCATAATTTCTGCAAATAATTTCATTGCTTATTGATAAATCTAGTAAATTTTAATTCTTAATTAAATTAATTATTTTTCTAAATAAATACTAATTAAATTTCCACCTTACTTTAACTAATTATTTTGCAAAATTTTGATTAACAAATTATTTCGCCTTTTTTGATAAGAAAATTGCAAAAATGAATATTTTATCAATCTGTGCTTCTTTTTTCTTTCCTCTCTTTCTATAGTCTTCCTTCAAAGTAATTTGAATTATTTAATTAACAAATTTTACAAAAATAATTTTAATTGTTTTATTAAGAACATACTCATAAATACTAAAAATAAAAATTAAATTTATCAATGATTAATTAATCAATGATTAATTAATTTAACTAAAACAAAACAAATTTTTTTTACAAAATATCTTTAAATTTGATAATTTTGAATTATGATAATTAATCAAAATAGCAACAAAAAAAAAAATAGAACATTTATTTAAGGACATACTCATGAAAGATTGTACCCAATTGTCCATCCAAAATGATATCACCAATTCGATTTGACTTACTGAAATGATATCGTTTTGGAAGCTGTCGCTTATCATATATTCGATAGTATTCATTATTGCGACATTTAAGTTCCTCCATTGTTTTCTTTATTTTATCTTAACAAAAACAAAATAGGAACATACTAGATTTATAATAGAAGTAAATTATCTATCGCCAAATTTATATCAATCAACGATTCATCCTTTATATTTTAAAATTGTAATTTTAATCAATCTTCTTTGTCTTAATTATATATTTTAACTAATTATAAATCAAAGCCTAATTTTCATTTATTTTTAAACAATAATTAATTTAAATTTATTAAACTAAATCATGAAGTTTTTTTTTCAGCAATTTTAAATTCAAATTTTTCGAATTCTAATATTTACAAACTTTGAAGTGTGAAATTTGTTTCATTAGTGAAATATATTTGTCCGACAACACCATCAGCAAATAAAATATTCTCATTATTAATCATTTTATCCAAATAAATACGACGATCAATCTTTTGCATACCTAAACATTTTATGATATATTAAATTAGGGGACAAGAAAAATATTTAAAATTGAAATGACATAAATGAATTTATCATCGATGTAAATAGGCTTTCTTCGATAATAATAATAATAATAATAATAATAATAATAATAATAATAATAATAATAATAATAATAATAATAATAATAATTTATAACGCTTATGAAATTTTAGCAATAATCTACGAATATATTATATTGATAACGTATATGATAACATATATTATGTTGATAATGTATATCGGATATCGAATATATTATGCTGATAACGTTTATCATCTTATATGATCTAAAATGGAGCTTTCCACCTATGCCAAATATTGCTAAATTTAAGAAAATCCGATAAAGAAAAAATGATTATTTGTGCTAATTTAATTCATTTCATTTATTTCATCTAATCAATTGTGATGATAAATAGTAATAACTGTAGCACTTATTATTATCATTATAATGATATGTGATAAAATATTTGAATTCCAGTATTAATGATTATTTTTTAAATTAAATGTAAAAAATAAATGCGGAAAAGAAAACATGCCATGATCGGAGAGTACGATAATATTGATACAATTTAATAATTTCATACTATGCAATGTTTTGAAAAGATAATCCAATATTGACTCAACCATTTCTAACTCTTTCGAAACCTTAAAATGAAACGATCAATAAAATTAACGATCGATTAATAATGATAAGATTAGATTAGATTAAATTTATTATATAATCAATAAACAACAACAAACAATTTTTTTAAATTAATTTTTATAAAAAATATTAACTAAAATTATTCAGTAAACAAAATTACATAATTATAATAAAACAAAATTGCTTAAGTTTATCAAAATTATTTAATAATTTACTTTAATTAGTTAAAAACAAAAAGTGATTACGGAGTATGAACAAACTTCCTCATCATTTTTGAAGTGTACGATAGCGTCAGGTTGCTCGAAATATGACATTATCAGCAATGGCCTTTTGCTAGCAGGCATTTTCAGCCAAGTTACTATCTAAAATTAAGGTAAGATTTTCAATTCTTTTTTTTTGAAATTAATTATAACTATTTCAATTCTTCCAATTACAAAATAAGTTGCTACTATTTTAATTAATAATTTAAATAACTTCTTTTATTTAAACAGCAATGCATTTTAATAATTTTTGAATTTTTGTTTTTGTTTAAACCTCAATGAAATTTCAAACTGATAATTCATATTTGATGAAATCTCAAACTGATAATTCATATTTGATGAAATCTCAAACTGATAATTCATATTTGATGAAATCTCAAACTGATAATTCAAATATTTCACTATTCAGCAATTTCAAGGAAAAAAATCTATCCGCCTAATTTTTTTGCTTTATTTAATTATCACAAATTA